ACACTCTTGTGGGACACTCTTATGGGACACTCTTGTGGGACACTCTTTGTAGGAAACTCTTGTGGGACACTCTTAAGGGACACGGTTGCGGGACACGTTTCGCGCTCCCCAGTGGCACGGCGTCGCGCAAACGCACTTTCCACCAAGGCCGTGCAAATCCCAATGGCACTGCGACATCACGAACGTCGCGTCGCCACACGGTCTGCCCAGACACTAGAAGCAAACATGTCACATGATACCACATCCCGCTCACCAGCGACACGCCACGTTTAGCGCAAACGCACTTTCCACCAAGGCTGCGCGAATCCCAATGGCAATGTGACATCACGAACGTCGTGTCGCCACACGGTCTGCCCTCACACTAGAAGCAGTCACGCGAGCGTTTCGTACGAGACTTCCTCCAAAAGGCGCGCTTCGAGGCTGCAAGACGAGCGTTTCGTACGAGACTTCCTCCAAAAGTCACGCGTCAAGTCTCCAAAACGAGCGTTTCGTACGAGACTTCCTCCAAAAGTCACACGTCAAGTCTCCAAAACGAGCGTTTCGTACGAGACTTCCTCAAAAAGTCACATGTCAAGTCTCCAAAACGAGCGTTTCGTACGAGATATCTTCCAAAACTCACATGTCAAAGTCTGCAAAACGAGCGTTTCGTACAAGACTTCCTCCAAAAGTCAAGCGGAAACACCCATCGGAGCACACACGTCACGCGCGCCCTGCCAAGCAGTTTCGCGATTCCAGCTCCTCCAAACAACACCCGCTCACACGCCAAACCCAATGGGACAGCGACATTCACCTCTACCACAACTCACAACCTGACGATTCCCTGCGCCTGCCACGAATCTTTCCGCATCTACACGTCTAACGCGCACAAAGTACTGTGCCTGCCACGAAATGTCACCTCCGTCACACCTCGCAACCTCACGATTCCCTGTGCCTGCCGCGAAAATCGCACTTCCATACCTCAAAGCACGCACAAAGTACTGCGCCTACCACGAAAAGTGACAATGTCATCTGCTGTGAGCTTCACCAAAAGTTGCACCACACCACACGATTGGAATGATTTCGACCCGTTCTGAGCACACTCCCAAAATCACCACTTCAGCTGAGACTTGTCACGAAAACAGCGCTTCGATGCCACACCCTGAAACGCAAATCCCAATGGCACGGCCACATCCAACACCCCAAAAACACGACTCTCCAAACGCTAATCCCAATGGAACTGCGCAGCAAACTGCGGATATCACAAAACGCTGCAGCTGCGCAGTGAAATCATCCTCCACACTTCAGCATCTTACATTTCCATACGATTCCTCGCTATTTCACACGAATCTGACACGTCACGTTTCCATCCGAAACCTACTCCAAAAGCTTCCCCCAATGGCCTCGAGTTTGAGACGCGACGACGACGACAAACGACGACAAACGACGACAGACGACGACAGACGACGACACGACGCAAGCCACGCAAACACAGCTCCAACCCCCAGACCCCCAACTATAAACGGGAACCCTTCACTACGCATTCGGGAAAAACATGTGTGGTATACATACAGTGCTCCCATGTGCTCCCTATGCCAGGGGATGTTATTGATAGGGAACATCAACGTCACTCGATCCGCTAGACCTGCTAGACCTAGGTAAGCTGGGAGCACTCGCTGGGCCGCCATGCCGAACGGCACTCGCGACCGAAACACAAGGACAGGACACCCGGACACCCGAGGCCGAGGCGACTTGGGCGAAGGAAGACTTCAATCCCGGGGGAGTACTGTACACTCCCTGGAATCATATGTTCATCCTTTCGGGGCCATGATCCACTTTGGCCCATGGTGCTTCCAGGGAAGCACCAAGTGGTTTACGATCAGTACGAAGCATCGGAATTGGACGCGGTGACGCGGGTCTCCAGATGTGGGGAAGACCGGGATGGAAGAAGTGGTTGCAGTAGCCCCACCTGGACTTGACCTTCAGCACCTGGGAAGGTCGAAGGTAAGATCACCTTTTTCAAACCCTTTTCAAACCGTCTCGACCCATCTTCGAATCTGCCCAGCGGCCCAGTAGATGTCGAAGAAAAACATGGCCACCAGAAGGATGGTGGCGATCTTTAGGTTCGGCAGCCTCCCATGGGCCAGATGGGACTTCAGTCAGTCCATCAACTTCTTACAAGCATCATTGATGCACTCTGTACGAGTAGGTAGTGAAGTTGCTGTCATCCGCGATGAAAGGAGAAGCTGCAAAAAAGAGGTTTCCGCTGTTGCTTTGGGGTGGAAGGAGGAGAACTGGAAAACAAACCGGGAGCTTGTTCTGAACTTAAATCCTTTCCTGAAGAGTACAGTGCATGACCATTCTGAACGAAGGAACATGTCACATCGCGTGTTTTCCATGGTTTTCCTGCTAGGGGTGTCACTGCAATTGGTCCACTCCTACTAGCTGCCATTTGAAACACCTGTCTTGTCGGTCATGCGTGAAATCTTGTGACAGAATGGGATCCCTGTGAAGAGACAAGCCAAAACACCCCTATCTTGAGTCCTTGATTCCGCAATCGCAAGAGTCCGCAGCTTTAGTCAGTATGAGAGAACCTTACCTTGCTCAAGAAGCAAACTACACTGCCACAATGTTTCCAGATATGACCTGTATTTGTGTAGTGACAAGTCAAGTGACTACTATACAACTTGGCTACAACAACCGTTAAACATCCTGGTGAACCTGGGTAGTTCGCTTGGAAGGCTTGCTGCCGAAAAAGAAACGAAACAATGAAGCACCAATGATGGTTTGAACATTATAAAATACGAAGCTTTGAGAACATAAAGCAGTTTACTAGAAAGATGCTGAAAGAAGAACTACAACATGAAATGCTAGGTGTCCGAGCGACCCTTTCACCCGTGGGGACATGGCCGATTCCGCAGATCAGCAGATCTGCAGACCGGCACCCGATCTGCGCGCCTGAGGGTTCTTTGCATCCAGCAAAGGAAGCCTGCACCAATAATGTCCTGCATTCGGCGGAATTGCGCCCATCACGCATGCGGAGCCACGAAGTATGTGTGCGTAGCAACAAGGTAGCAAAGCCGATCAGTGGATGAATGGCTTCAAAGGGTCTGCCAGTTTCGGGTGGAAACAAACGGGAAAGAAATGGTGAGAAAGGGTGGAGAAAGCACCACGACGGACTCCCGAGGCCGTTTCGATCCCTGGAAAAGAAAGGTTCCCCAATCCCCAAAAAAAGGTTTTGCACGTTATCCACTTGGGTAGGATGATAAATATGATATGATGATATGATGAAGAGGTTGACAACCCAGATGTACCAGCTCACTCCATGCCAACGCCATTACGTCATTCTTCGGGAGCTGGATGTTCAGCCCTTGCTGATAAAAAAAAAAATCGGCCATCATTTCAAGCCATTAGAAGCCATGCAGCGCAATGCCGTATGGATCAGAGTCGCGACATGGATGATTTCCAGTCTGGTCGCTGCCTCCTAAAAGCATCTAAAAGCAAAACCTGTCCCTAGGGCTCCAAGTGCCTCTTCAGAAGGTATGACTGGACCCTCCTGGCACCCACCCCAAACACCTTCTTAGAAGGTACGGAGCCCTAGGGTGTATGAATTGTACAAAAATCACTCGTCAAGGTGCTGGTAGCAACCGGTTCCATGGAACACTGTGGTGGTCTCTGCTCTTTCTCTATCTCTCTCTCCATGTTCACTCTCTCCAGCAGTTCTCCCGGCCCAAAGCTTACCACAAATCAAGCATTATCCATGTCCAGGCTCAGAACCGTCCATGTCCGGAGCTCCAGTTGTCCGATGCAGTTCCGTGAAAACTTGTTAAGCCAGTCCGATGCAGTTGTCCCCCTTTCGCTCCTGGAAGGGCCAGGCATAGTGGGTGTTTCGAAGAATCACCCAACACCTGAGCCGTCGACTGCGGAGAACCCACGAGGAATCGACCCAGGAGGTCGACTCAGGTCGAAGACCCGCGCAGCATTTGTTTCAGGTCGAAGACCTGGCCCAAGTCCTGAGACAGACCGTGCTCTGCAGGGTCTGTGTCACCCCAAAAACCGTGCTCTGCTGGAATTCACGTACTCCTTGGGGCGAAGAAAAAAGCGAGACTGAGTTCACCTCCTAAGGGTGTTGAGGGTCGGACGTTACCTGAGGGACACCAACCCCGGTACTTTGGGTAACGATGCAACAGCTGAGCAGACAACCCTTACCTTGCAAAGAATGGGCCCTCCCTCAGACAATCAAAGCCGAGCAGGCCCCCCTTCCAGAGGAAAATGCTCATCTATGTTCCACGTGAGAAATGATTCTACCAGGGAGTGCCCTGTCCCTTTACCTCTTAGATCCTTGTAGATCCAAGGTCCAGTCGTTGGGTCGGACGGAGTTTGGCTAATCTTGAAGGTCTTGGCGTCACTCCAGTTCATCAAGTGGAAAGCACCCAGGTGACAAGAATAACGGCGAGGTTCAGTGGTTCAACCACCCGGGCCAACAAAGGCCACTGCTAAATGACTAGCAAGTTCCAAATCGCTCCCTGTCAATCAAAAAAATGGGATTCCGCAGCATCCTACAGATCGTTTTTCGCAGCTCCTTTGAGCTGTCTTAGCTCCTGACCAAACCTTGCAGCTACAAGGTAGTAAGTCTCCCTTCATCACGTGGCCCTTCCTCCACAACCTCTGATGGCAAAGGGCAATGCCAAGAGTGATGATGGCACCAAGGCGAGGCTCTCCGCCTGCGAGTTCGGTTGTCCACCGGACCTACACTCCTTGAAAGAATGGAATGCTGCATGTTGAATTTTAGACTTCAACATCGGAAGCTTCGTTCTGGCACTTCATGCTGTCGGTGGATCACATGGGCCCAGGTTTGTCCGTCGACCGTCCGTGGGCGGTGTTTGACCTGGTTGAAGACACGTGTTTGTTGATCAGCCAATAAAACCAACAACTGCCTGGTCTTCAGCACACCAACATACACCCACATTCAAAGCCAATGACTAGAGTCTAGAGTCTGTTCATTCTTCGGGATGCCCATCATGTCCAATCCCATCTTTCCTCTGGCAACGAGGCTGTGCCTTCGAGATTGGGCCAAGGCCAGGCAGGGTCACGAACTTCTCGCGAGACCAGACCGCCTCGAACAAGGCACACATAGAACAAAAGCTGGCAAGAAGAACCTCCTCAATGGAATGAGTTGCCTGAAAATACCCAAACGCTTCAGAAGATACCCTCAAACATGTACAGTATGATCAGTGATCTTTGGAGTATTATCTATATATATATATACATACTTGGGGGACCACTCTAATAACATACTATACAGCTGTTTGGGTTTGCAAAACAACCGTCGATAAATATATATATTTACAATTTATACACACCTCACTTCAAGAATCGTTGAGTAATATTCTGAAATTAAACACTGAGGCTCCCGACATAGTGGTACAAGCACATGCTGATAAACTGGGTCAGGCAAAGTGCTCCACCTGAACACGGGTCCGTTCGCAGCGAGCGTTCGAAGTTCAAAAAGAGCGCTTGCTGCAAACAGTCTGAAGGAAGGAAGGTGAAGGGTTGACAAAATCTGCCCCAACCTTCTGCATTGTCCACTGATCAATGTATCTACGTATCGAATGTATAATGCATAGGTCTTGTGAAAATGTTATGTCTGGCAATGTGATTCAAGTGACTCCACTCTTTTCAGTGTTCAAGAAGACAAGAATGGAAGATATATAATGAAACAAACAGGGGCCTCCGTACCGTGGAAATCTGTGAAAACAACGGGTCTCGCGGGTTTTGCAATGGAAACCCTCCAGGACTCCAGGAGGTTTCTTCTGGCTACTGCACGTGAGATTCTGTGCCACTTCTTTGTTTTGCACAAAAGCTGTGGTTCCCATCTCCCCACCCACAAGTTTCCCGGCGTACGAAAGGCAGGCTGCCCACCGCTGCACGGGTTCGTTGAGTGTCCCGGCCCACACAAAAGGCAAACATTATGAAATAGATGGCGTACTTCCTGATGAGAAGTGCAGAGAAAAACAAACATGTGACGGAAAAACTAGTTGTTTTGGGCAATTCCAAGGATGTTCAGCTCACGCGACAAGTGCCTAGAACCACCCAAACATGGCAAAGAGTGGCATACCCTCTATCTTTGGTGGTGCACAGTACCTTCCACCAACAGCAATGTATATAAACACCTGATGAACTCCTCCTATTGGTTTGGTACGACTTTTTCCTGCAGTGCTAACCGCCTTTCTCCTGGCACAAGTTCCAGAAGTGGGGTACACTAACCCCACCCAAACTAGTGTGGTCACCTTTCTTGGGCCATGTCTGCAAGACTAGCCGCTTTTCTCATTCTTAATCCGCATCTTTTACTAACCCCATCTGACGAACTAGGACAATATATAGAGAGAGAGGTTTTCGTATGTCCAACTATATGTCCCTTTTCTTGTCCAAACCCACTTCTCAAGACACCTTGTTGCCCCTGCTGGCTCATTGTTGGCTCATGCCCTTCTGGCAGCTTGCATTTCCACTAAAACTCCCTGAATAAGACAGTGGAAAAATCGGTGAATATGTGCAGCAACTTCCCAGGCGCAGTCTTGATACTCATCACTGATCACCCATATTGGCATCCTGCTCCTCGACCAGCTCATCCTCTTCCTACCTTCCATATCTTCCGCCTCCTGCTCAACCAGCTCTCCTTCTCCAACCTCTAATGCATCCCGATGCTCCCTTGACGCATCTCATCACAAGAATCTCACTGCTCCCCACCTGCACCCAGATCCTCCAACTTTACACAGAATTCCGAGACCACTTCCAGTCCCAGAAAACACTATAAACTTCTTTACGAGAACCTATCCAACAAATGATTTGCTCATGCCCGGCATAAACCCTCTATTCACAACCCCAAAATTTGGTTGGTCTCTCCAATCTCTCCCCAAAGCAGGGAAGACTTCCCTTGCAGTCTGATGCCCTTTCCAAAAAACTAGTCCGAATGTGTTTCTTCCACCCTCCTTCCCTCTCCTGCTCTTTCCTGATGGAATCTTCAACCTCATGTCCTTTCCTTCATGTTCTTATATTCCTCGAATCCCATCAGCTTCATTCAGCTGATCTTGTTCTCCACATTGACACGGTGCCCCACGGTGCTTCTTGAGATGGCAGGTCATGGTACCCCACCTCCAAGTCTTCAATTGACATCCAAGTCTTCCCAATCAAAGAACATAGCTTCCATTCCCATGATGCCACACTTTAGTCTTGGGGATCCCTCCTCATGAAGACATGAAGAGATTTATATAGTCTTTGGGATCCCTCTTCATGAAAAGATGTGCAGTAGCCTTTGGGGTCTCACAATTGACCCCCCAGTTACTAAAAATGTTTCAGATTTCAGACCTTCTAGAGAAAAGGGGGAGTGTTCATCGGGTGTCTTTCCATTGGTGCTTTGAAGGGAATGAAGGAAAAGATCTAAAGGAATCTATATTGGAGGCTCATTCAGTCAGACCAGGAGGGGCATGATGCAAAGTGGCGCGTGGGCCACGCCCCAACACTTGATACGTGGATCGATGTACGAAAGGGCTGTGGCATAGCTGCACCACAGCCGCATTCGGGGTAACTCCTTCACACCGAAGGAGTAAGAAAGATCCAAATCCATAGGCTTGCTATTCAGCCGAACGGCAGACAGACCAGAGATGGTCTTCCAACGACATGAAAAGGATTCTGAGGAAAAGGATAAGTGAGGACGGGCGCAAGAAAGGCAACGGGCTGGTGATAAGGACAGGGATGAGGGGGATGAGGAGGATGAGAAGGATGCAGAGGATGAGGAGGATTAGGAGTATGCGGATTGGGATGCAAGAAGCGAGTCAAAGCAAGAGTTTATATCAAAATGCAGACTCCACAATCACTGGTGGATTGGTAGTTATATATTCATATTACATCATATTACACTTTCCCAGCTACCCGCTGGTTTCTGTGGGTCTCATTAATCCTGAGATGCACCAAATAAACCACCATACCTATATAAATCCCGCCGCATGCTGAATGAGTTGCTAGTGTTGCTACGAGGTGCATGAAGAAGAAGAGGAAGACCAGCACGCAACTGCCCATGACACAGAAGCCTCCTGCCTGGGCTGTTTTTCGCTTGCGATTGCGTGTGAGGGCAAGGGTGCTGCCCCGAAGTAAGACGACCCAACGCATGGGGTTCAAATGAAGGATTGCCAAAATGTGTTCACTGTTCACTGTTCACCTAAAAGATTCTAAAGGACTTATTGTTGTGGTGATTATCATGATTTTCACTCCACTTCCATGGCTGTTTCAAGGAGTGTATGAGATTCTTTCTGGGTGGACGTGAAAGCAATAAAAGCATCCTCGATCGACTCGATGCACAAAACGATGAAGTTCAATCAAGAAACTATGTGATTTGTAGTCCAAACCATAATGGTGTACATGAGCATGGTTCATTTCGGGATGTGATCGGGTTGTAAGGGTGGTTAAGCCACATCCACATCAAACATGCCTCTCTGGAGAAAAATTCAACCCCAGAGCACCTCAAAAAGTCAGTCAGCACGCTGAGGCTCAGGCCATCCAAGCGTCCAGCTCTTGAACTTCTTCGGTCCTGGGTCAAAACTCTACTAGGAGCAAGGACGCTACTAGGGGCTCCTGGCCGTACTACTAGGAGCATCCTTACTACTAGTAACAAGAACCTACTACAAGTAGGGGCTCCTGGCATCGCTACGAACGGAGCGATCGGACGCTACTGGGATTCACCGAACTCGCTTCGTTTGCTTCCGAAGACACCCCAACATTGGTGCACACCGAGCTTTGAAGACACCCCAGGTGGTGTTCTGGATGGTAAAATTCCCAAGGTACCTTTCATCAGGCTGGGGTGTGCGTGTGGATGAAAAAGGGACCAGAAGGAGGCAGAAAGCAACATGGAGGATCTCCTTTTGACGAACTATGCAGGGCTCCTTCGCCAGTGCTTCACGTCTTTCTCATGCAAATGAAAGAAAAACAAGTTCAAGATTCAAGATCATTCTTTCGCACCGCACCTCACCGGTTGTCCTTTCTGCACCTGTCCCTGTCCTGAAAAGTCCCCTGAACCCCGATGGCCTCCAACTTAGTAGCGATGGCTTCCAACCCAGTTGGAGGCTATGGTAAGACCGGCTTCGTGTACAAATAGATGGTTAATTTCCCAATTCCATGTTAGTCAGAGGGTACTTGTTCGGACCGAGCTGGGTATGCCATTTTTTACGGAGCTTCCCTGCACTCTTTTTCGAACTTCGAAGGTGAACATCTTAAGGAGCTCACCCATCCTCAGGTTCCTCCATCCCCATCCCAGCCAATGATGTCCTTTGGGATCATGTGGGAGTAATAAAGGGGCTTGATTTCGTACCTATTGGCTCTTCACAACCACGAATGATCTCCTTTTAACCAATAGTAAAAGGCCATCTATGATCCCATTCCAACCCCTCAACCTGTTCCAATCACCGAATCCACTCTCCATTGCCCTCTTCTTGTGCCAACCGCCAGGGTGCTGCGGGGCGATTGCGCTGCTGAAGCTCGTCTGCCGCATGTCCGCGGTGGAAAAGAAGGTCCCAGCCTCGGCCGCATCGCGCACCGCTTCCAAACACATTTCCGGAGCAAGGTTCAAACGATATATAGGGGATAATGAGTCAATGGCATGAGGAGGGAGCCTATGATATGCCATCCACTTGGTATCCCCCATAACAAAAAAATTGAAACAAACAAGAAACATGCTCTAGTTGATGCTGCCGAGGAAACTCGGCGCCCGTCTTTTCTCACCGCGCGAAGGGGGCGAGCCGATGGGTTCGTGTTTGGGTGGTGTGGAACTAATTCTATCACTTCGACACAGCTGACACTACCGCTGTTCCATTCGGATGACTTCCTGCCACCTTTCTCAATGAGGCCGCGGGCTGCTACCAGTGCCGTAGCGGTCAGGATCAAAATCAGCTCCGACCTCGTTCTCGCGGGCACAGGCTGCTTAGGGAACTTAAAGGGAGTGCTTAGGGTATCTTCCAACCCAAAACAAGTGGATCTCGTACGTCTAGACAAATCCAACCTGGTGGATTTCCGTGTCTTTCGGAGTGACTTGCAGATTGGAAACCTTCGGAGTGACCTGGCCGTTCGACTCAGAAAAGATCAGAGTCATACCAGAAGTTCCTCCGCTTCTGATGATTTGCAAGCTTCTTCAACCATGTGCCCACTGTCATGTGCCCACTTGAAGCTATTCGTGTTGATTGTTGTTTGGCAAAAAGGCGAGGTGTTCATCAACCGTTCTCTTTTTACATCTCTTCCTTTGAAACACATTCACTATATGTAATAAATTCTAACCCTTAGGGTGAGCTCATTCAAACAATGCATCAGAATGAAGCAGTTGAGTTGTCGAAAGAACCAACGATCTTCTTGACCCAATTAGCTGAGAGAGCGAGCAGCACTCCAAATATCAGTGAACATCCAGTGTCAGTGTTCAGCATCCCGTTGTGAGTAAACATAAAGGACCAGCCGGCAAACAACCATTCCTATTAGATATGCCCGGTGGAGGGTTTGTCAAAATTCGTACACTAGTTCACCCGCAGAGAGGGCATTGGATTCTCAGCTAAGAAAGTCTGGCATTTGGTGAGAACATTGGGAGCTTTCATCAAGAACGGTCCAGTCACTCTTCAGTCAATCACATTACTCCAAGTCCTGAGGGATCTCGTGTGACTTGCCTCGAAAACTGTTCAGTTCGCAGTCCTTATAACGAACAATCCCATCGATCTTATCGAGTCCATCGAGCTTGACAACCTGTTTGTTTTCCTGCCCAGCTGGGCTCTCGAGCACATTGAAGGGTGATGGATGATATGAGGTCACTGAGACCACCTTGGGTGCCCGACGTCTCTGACTCATGGATTGGCGAATCCAAAGCGAGAAAAATCTGGAAAGCACCCTCCTCAGGAAACTCCTGCAGATTTGTTCCTTCAGAGGCTGAAAATCCGTGGTTTCCGATCTTCCCCTTCAACCCATCCTGGGCGGAGCTGGACGAGCTGCTTCAACGGCCCAGCTGGACGCGGGAGCGACGGCCACCGTGGCACGTGGCGGATCCCCGCGGCTTCAGACGTGCCCCGAGGACCACCAGGGATGCGAATAGGGTTGGAGACTGACAGGCAGGATCTTTGGATGCTGTACAAGTATATTATAGTATATAAATCTGAACTTTCTGCTGATGGGGGGGCACTCATCAGCCAACTCCTGAACTGCAAGAAGCCCTACTTGTTCACCAACACATCGGGAAAACATGTCTGCAGCCATCCCCATAGATCATCAGTTCTTTCTTTCGCAAAGGCAGGCTCACTGTCTCAAGATCAAGGGATCCCCGAAACCAACACGTTTTCAGATGCTCTGTCTCCAGCTGAATTCTGTATCTGCTACAGTTCAATTATAATATAAACGTATCATCATTCCGCCAGTTACACCAGCAACTGATTTGCTGGTCCAACGAAAAAGAGTCGCGAGTCGCAGCTCCGCCCGACATGTTCACAGGAGAGTTCGATTTCCAGGAAGTGCTACTCCAGTCTCACGTCCGAACATCTCCAGTTTCTGCAACCGTGCGGATCTTGACCAGAGGGGACTTGCGCGCCGCAGACGAAAGGGAAGGAGGAGGTCAACCACCTTGATGTTGAAGGTTTAAGAGGCACCAAGAGGCACTGTCACTTGGAGATCGTCCACACTTCGCCCGACACACCTCTAAGCACCAAAGAACCTCGTGCGAAAAGAACCTGCAAAGCCTTCCAATTCGCCAAGAGGTCACTAGGTCACTAGGCTGCCGTTCATATCTGTGGAGGTTGAGACCTATCTATAGAAGTATACAGGACAGTACCCCTGTTAGACTCTTGTTTCAAATCCTAAAAACTCAGCACCCAGACCATCGGGGTTCTGTTTCGCGAGTCTTGGCATCGCGGGGTTGAACTGGAATGGGGGGTTGGGGGGTTGGGGGATTGGGGGGGCGTCTTGCGCACAATGCAGTGAGCCGAGAAGCCAATTTGGCCTGTTCCAGACTGGAGGACCTCACGGACCGCGCGGGAAACGGTCGAGTTTTGACGTTGGACAACGAAAAGAGTCGGAGCGTCTCGGAAAGTGCTGGCAAAACGACATGGACACGGGAAGAGCCAAAAATCCGGGACTTCCCATGCCCCAAAAGAAAAGACATGGTAAACCCATGACCAGGGGATTCACATGGATTCACTCTCCGAGGCTCAAAATATCAAGTCACATGATCCGCAAAGTACGTGAGATGGATGGGTTGGATGTGATGTTTGTCATCGATCAGGTGGTTTGGGGGGGAAATCCACAGACCAAAACCTTGCACAGAGCGCCTTAAGAATCCTTGAGATATGCTTAAGATGTCAATCATTTGAAGTGCAGAAGATCTTTTCTGTCAAGAGTCGAGTTCCGAACTCCACAATGCCAAGGCACTGGTGGCTTTTTTGGTATGAGAAGCACTACATCGAAAGAAGCCAGGTGGACATGAACCACATCCTGGAATCCTTCGCAAAGCGATGTCTTTCAGGTGCCGTGTCCCGAAAGAGAGTCACTGGCAGACACCCGTCACTTGACACACTACAGTACGTCCTCTTTAGTTCGTCTTCTGCCGGCGAATCGTGGATCTCTTTTGCAATATGTGTTTTCTATGAGCACAATCAATCATCATCCGCTCGGAAAAAGTGTCAGATCACTTTTGATTGGTGCATCTCTTTATGTCACTTTGCATCCCGACTTTAGAGCCAGTCAACCTGGCACCGTCACTGATCAGCTGGGCCTTCGAAACAAGTGCCTACCTGGGCTCCGAACCCCAGTTGCTGGTAGAACTTCTCCCCCAGTGTCTCGCCGATCGCCACGGCCCAGATCTTCACCTGCGCTGTGCGCTGTGGCGTGGAGAGGTCGACCTCTGGGAGGTGCCGTTTGGTTCGACGCGACCTCCATGGGACTGCAAAAGAACAAGCTACATGCCCCACCCATGTAGACCTGGGCCGGCCGGGGAATTGTTCGTCGCACAGGCCTTGGTCCCGGTCCAATCACCGTGAAAGTGAACGAAAACACCTGCACAGCGCCACTGCGCCTCACTACTTCCGGCGAAGATGCAGGTGCAAACTGCAACCATTCGAGGGCTGAAATCTTAATCCTACTCGGCAAGAGACAAGATCCCCATCCCTAGCCTTTTTCCCTGGCTTTGTTGAAGATGCAAGAGGCAAGTGCATCCTTAATGTAACCTTCAATATCAAATCTGCCACGGGTTGCAAAGAATGATTCCTGGACGGTATCAAAATGTAAAATCAGACTGTGCCACAAAATTATGGTTATATTGTTATATTATATATACTTTGTATGCTCATATATCCACTCAGACACCCCTAGCGTCATAAAGGCACCTCATCGCACACGACTTAGTCTGCAAGCAAGAAACTCATGCCACCATGCTTCCCCTTATCCCCTTGGCGATCCATCCACCATCACCCCCATCCAAAGCATTGCATCTTCCAACACCTAGAGGAACACCCATCCACCTAGGAAGAAGGGAAATCCATCCGCCATGATCCCCATCCCACACTCCCCACAAACCGCTCCGTTCGCCCTAGAGGCCCACCTGCTCATCTTCCTTGCTTTGGTTCGAGCCACCCATCTCCATCACCTACGTCGGTCGTTTGCCGAGAAGCAGTCCTATCGAAGGCGGAGGAGCCCCAAGTTGAGGTGCTCAACATTCCATGGACTTTCATGACAGTTGGGTGATGTTGGGTGTGAATTTTAAGGAGAAAGCCCCAGCCAATCAATGTTGATCGATTTTCCCTTCTGACCAGGGAACTGGAAGGTCTCCCGATCACTGTACACCTCCAGTTCACACCAGCATCCATTTCTGTGGACTGCACTGCTGCTGGATCTGGACACCCAGACAGGATGGTCCAGGGAGGCTTCAAGCGAATTCGACCGATACGATGAACGGCATCGCTGCGAACGGAGCGTTCGGACGCTACGAACGGGGCTGGCATCGCTACGAACGGAGCGTTCGGACGCTAGTAGGTTGGTGGCACCTTTCTTCGTCACTGCTCGGACCAGTGTTGCAACCGGATCTTCGTCCTCCAAACCGCGGATGACCACGACGGATGGGAGACTCCAACGATACTGATTTGGGGGCTTTGATGTGGCAGTGGAGCCCCGGTCGCCCTGGATGGGTCAACCCCTCCAAGCCCGGTCGCCCTGGGTTCTGTTTCAGTGTTGGGCGGGAAAAGCAGGGTCTCCCTGGTTGGACCCGCGGCCACACTGCCGATATCACTCACCTCGCCTTGCTTCACCCATATATCCTTGACCCATAGCCTACAGCCTTTCGAAAACGACTAGATTCAACATGGTTGAGTTGGTTTCGTTCTCTAAAACCAGTTAAAAAAGAAAAACAACGTTTTGGATTAGACTCAGACTCTTCAATCATTCGTGCTTGGAGGGGCTTCTATGGGCTCTTTCCTCCTCGGCCATGAGTTCACCATGAGGAAACCAACTCATCCAGGCGAGCTGCCTGAAAGCACCTGAAAGCCATGACTACACCACATCGGCATCACTGGATGCGCAGGATCCACCTGCGCAGATGGCAACTCGGTGCCTGGTCAGAGTCAAAGGCGACCAGAACGCCCAGGGCACCTGAAATCGGGGCGCGGCACGTGCTCGAGCAGATGCGAAAGGACTCGAGGGAAAATCCAAGAAATGCCAACGACATCCTTCGTCAAGAAAGGCACGTGCTCGGGCTAGACAACAAAGAAAAACGGCCGGAGGGTGTTTGAGAATAGCACTCATGCCATCAGCCATCTTGGGCCGGTTTGGATATTGGGAATCGCCCCGTTTATCAAAGACCATCCGTGATCTTGGGAGCTTTGACAGATTGTTTGCAAGCCGTGCTTCCCTTAATCTCCCCTATCTGATCTTTGGAATACACCTGGTCATTCAAACCCACACCAGATCGAGCAGATCGCTTGCTTCACCCCATCATCGGTCTCTGTCCTCCTCGCGTACGAGGAAAAGACCCCATCTGATCGCTGAGTACGGCGATCCGGATCTTCTAGAACTCCTAGACCTTGAGATGAAAAAACAATCAATACCTTTGAGTATTATTGAGCATATCCCATTCCCTGATTTATATCGTGGATGATGATGGTTGGTTAGCTAGGCAGGCAGGCCTTTCTCCAAAAACATCGTGATAATTGGGACACCCCCTCAAAAAATAGATTAGTGCATCTTGTAAACTACCTAAGGCGTTGGGAGACAATGCCTTCTCTTGCAGGTGACAAATAGGCGTGTGTCGGCGTGTTTTCCATTCTTCCAAACCTTGAGGAAAGATAGGAAAGTGTGCCTCATATAAAATAGATCAGTCCATATCTTCAGTTTCCATTGAAGACTCTGACGCACAGCGCGCGGCCCCGCCTGCGTCTTGCGCATGCCGGGCCTGCGCCGTCGAAAAGAGGGCGAGGATGAATCCGATGACTCCCTCCAGATCCCGAAAAAGCCAAGATGGGATCCTACAGCGAAATTGGATAAAACTTTGAAAAAAAACATGTGTGCAATAGGAAAAGAAAGCGTTTTCCAAAGGTTCCATTCGACCCGGTTCCATGTGGTTCTCAGAACCGAGATATAGAAGGTCTCGATCCTGCACCCCCCTAGGGCTGTGCCTAGGCTGGTGTGGGATGTGGGCCATCTGCTCCAAGAGATGGGGACTTGGGAAGACTTGGGGAACATGGCAGAACATTTGAAAGTTTCAAGTTGGTGGAGATCTGGCTAATTAACTGGGGTGCCCAAGGGACATGTTCAGATATGTCAAGTGCCCTGTGTCCTCACTTATTTCCAGAATATCTCCAAAGGGAACGCTTCAGTCAGGGGGGCACTACATTCGTGCAAGTTCAAAGGGTTGGGTTTGGAGGAGAAAGCGACCTTCGGCAGCTGGACCCCATAGAAAGCGACCCTCTGCCAGCACCGAGTTTGGGTGGTTGATAGACACCCATACACCCCTCCAACCACCCCTCCAATGTCTTCTCATCCACCCCTTGGGTACTGGTGACTACTAGCAATCCAAGTATATTGAAAAATAATCCACTAAGCAATCCAAAAAATATGACTGCTATCCAGCTTCTTCAGTTCGTTACCTTTTGAAGGTTCCATCCAGTGACCCGTATAGGAGGCTTGCTTGTGACCGAACCAACCAGGTTATCAAAAGGTCAATTGAAGAACCAGGATAGTAATACACACAGTAATCCAATGATAATGTCTTGTAGCATCTTGTAGCTTTCCACAAACGAAAATGGATCTCATGGACCCCCTAGGCCCTTCTCACCGCTGCCTTCTCCACGAAGGTGCAGTTTCCTCTTCGCACCTCGAGCGAGGGACTGAGGGACCGACTCACCGAGTCGCTGGCTTGCTGGGAATCAACAGAATTTCTTGGAGTACTCACCCTGAATGGAAGTGGTATGGTCTTCCTTGCGGGGCCATGCCATCCACTTCCATGTTCATTTCATTGCAACTTCGGATTAATGATTGGTCTAAACGAAGGGGGCGAACGGTTTTTCCCCTTTCCTTCACCGACGGCCCATGAGGATTCTCCGGAAGTGTAGTACAAGGTGACACCCAAATAGATAGTGGCACGGTCTCCCAAAACATGTTTGGGGGGGCCAGGAGTCACAGAGCGTGGGGTGCCTAACTTGGAGGAGAACGGCGTGCCTAACTGCGTGCCCAGAACATCACACTCCACGGCCCCTGGATGGGACGAACCAAACCGCCCCGACATGTGACTCATGGGGAATCTGCTTTTCTATCTATGACTCCACCAGTCCATCCGCATCTGCCTACGGCCCAAGGTGGGCCCTAGTAATTGGGATGACATTCATACCCAATCCACAAAAAAATGGCACCCTGACACAGCCAGAGGTCTGTTGGAGAAGGTCTTCTTCTCACACATGTCATCACATGTCGCATCGCATAGACTTCATCAACAGTATAAGAGAAAACACATGACCAATCCAGCCAACGTGATGGTATTATATATATATACTTTAATTTGTTTTTGGCTCTTGACTGGTATCCCCTGACACGATTCGATAGAGGAGGATTTTAAAAAATGTAAAAAACACATGTGGATAATGTGGTTCTTTTAGGTCGCGGTCCACAACTAGATGGTAAAGACATGGAATCCGTCCTCTCATTGCTCCGGTCGTAGCCATGTCCTTTGTTCCCTTCGTAGCTTGTAAAGACATGGACCCTTGCGGAGCTCCGTCCCCCTTGGAATCGTCTGTCGAAGGAAGACCTCACCGTGTCGGACATCGTGTCCTGTTGGGCTCCACGCCAGGCTGATGGAATTCCTCGGCGTCGCGAAAAATGCGTCCGCGTGGAACAGTGCGGAAGGGGGGGGGTTGGTTCCTCTTCAGTCCAGTCTCCGCATGGTGTTACAATCTCACGCATGAGGTGGTTTGAAGCACCTCCCGAAAAATTGGGTTCGAGATCAAGACCCTTGGCAGCGAAGTGGCTCTTTGAGGGGTTCCTTCTCAAAGACTCCATATGATTCTTAAAAAACTGCGATGTGGCTTGTGAACCAGAGACTCGGATTTGACCGATTTGGAACCCTTCCTTCACCGCCACAGGAGGTGCAAACCCTGACCTTCTTCTGTCCAACCATGGATGTGATGGAGTCCGAACTGGCCGAGGCTCGCTGGGAGCTGGTAGCTCTTGCAACCAATGGCATCCTCTGAGGGAGGCACCTCAGACGAGTTCAGAGCTATGGATCCTACCAGCACTGAATCAGTGCGTTTCTCCATGGATCCTACCAGACGGCAAGGGACTCATTTGCGACACCAAATCTGACTCATTTGCGACACCACCACCCCCCTGTATTCCTCTCATGTACGACACCAAATCTCTCTCATTCGCGACACAGACACATACACACATATGATTGCAAGCATTAGGTTGGGTGGGACATTAGGTTGGGGTGGGGTGGGGTGGGGCATTAGGTTGGGTGGGGGGGGGGGGGGGGGTTTAGGGGTGGGGTGGGACATTAGGTTGTTGGGCTTCAGAGTTTAGAGTGGCATTTGGTGGAATTGGTGTGGAGCTGGATTGGAGCTTTATGACTTTATGAGAACCAAGCAAGGGCCCAGAAGCACACAGATTCTCTAAAAGAAAAGCTCTCCGCGTCACAACTGAGAAAAGCTCTCCGCGTCACATTCGAGACAAAAAAACGCGTCACAACCGAGACCCTTTCCCTACCAGACCCACCCAGGGCTAGGCTGGTTTATAGAGTCCCCACCCCAACATGCGTCATCAGCGGAAGGACTCCATGCGTCATCAGCGGAAGGACTCCCAAGCTGTGTTTCTGCTGTGTTTCTGCTGCAGCAGGGCAGCTGTCTTGGCGGCACTGTGCACACATGCCTCATTAATTCATTGATTCATTGACTTTTCAAAACACATGACTGTTGTTTTTACCGCGTTCTTTGTCCGTTTCACAACATGGTCATCGCCACATGTCCGTGTCATTGAAGAGTCCTGTGTCATGGTGGTGGCGGACCGGGGGAAAAGATCTGAAGGTCACTCACAAGTTCACAAGACAGGCTTGGAAAACAAGGCTACTGACTAAGTGGTTGCCGTGTGAGCTGCACATTGCAGACCGAAACAAACCATAACAAAAACATACAAACAAAGTCTTCCTGCAAAACACAACAGATCCGAAATATTGCAAAACAAACCTCCGTGGCAGCTTCGCTACCATCTAAGACCATCTGTTTTGCGTGTATCAACGTGTGTCTTATTTCCTGTAGCAGGTAATAGGACACCCCCAACATCTAAGACCATCTTGTTTTCAGGAAACGCTTTCGAATTGACCGCTCCGACGTTCCTCTTCAACCGCTCGGCTTCACCGAGCGGGGCACGAAGACCTCAAGCTCCACAGGCTCCGTGTTGGTCTCCGGGTGATCCCCAAAGGCGGCAAAGATCCTCGGTGGGGTTCGGGTGGGGCCGTTTGAAACGACGGAGACGAAGAATGCGGAAAAAAAAAGAAGTTTGGGCACGAAGAATGTCTACGCGGAAAAAAAGAGAGGAATGCGTTAGTCCAAGATTGATTCTTTTGTTTCAACAGCCACAGAAACCCACCCCAAAAGAAGTGATAAACCTTGTTTTAAAAGTTACCAGCACCTTCCCACAGGTCTCCTTTGGAGGGTTGTTAGGCCCTAACCGGTTTCAATTGGTGACCTGTGAAGTCGGTGCTGGTATGCAGGAAATAGGGTGGAATCTGCGAAGACCCAGGGCCCCTGCTCGGATCTTCAGTCGCAGATCCGACACGGACATCCAAATTCTCCGAATTCACGGGTCTCGGGACGGCAAGCGAAATCAGCAGGAGGGAAAAAGAAGTCGGCTGGAGACACCTACATCCACCCGAACAAATTGCTTTTGGTCAAGCTCCAGGAAAAATCATCTCATACTGACTCATACCACGATCATTCATATTTTTGGGGATTGCCGTTGAAGGCCCTTTTGAACCTTGAAGCTCCTGAGCTTCATCTCACTGCCAAGATATGGACCGCATACTGCCTCAAACCTCTGGCCTTTCCAACACAGCGCGTGCGGCACAAGGAATGAATAGAAGGGCTGAAGGGCAATCCAAAAATATTACAATATGATACCATATACAGTATATATTAAATTCTGGTGTGACCGGTTCGATGTTCTCACAAGCACCGTTCAAAGGTCCATTCTCATGGCCGTTGAAAAACCATATTCTTCCGAGACCGAACCAACCTGAGAACCGAACCGCCAAGCCGCACACGGTACCCAAACCGATACCCGATACCCGATACCCGAAGCATACGCAACCGCAGAAATATGACTCTACATATTACAGTATGGGCGCTGTGTCTTTTGTGGTATAGACTTTGTCTACTTGCTGAAAACCTCTCAAGACATCACCCGACCTGTAAGATAATTTAAGACCACCTAATCTAAGACCCATCTGGAAACCTGCGGGTTTCCATCTCCTGTTTCCACCAAGTTGGGGGGCACCTGTTTCTACCAACCTTCCGCGGTTGTCCGGGTTTCTGGGGCCTCCGAGCCCGACGTAAGTCCCCGCCAGCGAGGAGGGCTCCTTCACCTCGACCGGTCAAGTTTTAGTCCGCTGCATAGTCCAGCCGTGCCCAGTGCCCGGTCGGTGGGGTGGGGTTGTGGGAACCCAACTTGGGCGTTTGGGAGAAGTGTCTCGCTCTTTCTCGGCCCGGGAGGAAAGCCAAGGTTCGGCAAACCCAATGGGCGTCCCAGATTCTTCGGGGCCTTCTTAGGCATATCTGGTCATGAATCAGACCTTCTTAGCCCATGGTATAGAGAACACCTGGTATGGACCCTCCGACTCTCATGACATGTATCTGTATCACTGCTTGGCGGTATGCGACAATCTGCGATGGGTCGCCCCATGTGATGGGTACCGTGCGACGGTTCAATAAAAAGGACGGCATGCTCTGCTAAAGCTCCCTCTGGCCGGAGATCCTTCTGCCTGTAGACTTCCACCGCTTTCAACAGAATGAGGAACTGAGGAAAGCCATGGAAAACCTCGTTTCCACGAGACTTCTTGCTACTCACCACTCACTGCTGTGCAGCTCTACGCCAGGTGACTGAAAGAACTGCCACCTGGGCGGCCTGAGCGCTTTTGGCGCGAAATAGGGACACGGTGCAACGAGTGGAGTGATGCCACAGCTTCGGGAAGTGATTGGTGGAGCCCTAGAACTCCTGAGGTCGAAAATCCCCACAGCAGGGAATACGATCTGCTTGTGGATGAAATGAAGGTTCTTCATCCCTTCAATCCCTTAGTCTTAACTCTACCCAAGATTCATGTTGGATGATACAAATGTTCATCTAGCCTGGGGTAGAAGGGAATTTCGACATCCTCTGTCTCAACCCTACACAAGACTCTTCTTGACACTGTGACAGATCAATGATCACCATGTCAACGTGGTGCGCGGACATCGATCATCTGCCGCTTTCGCCTGCCCTATTCCCAGGGCAGGGTCTTTGGCGTATTCCCCCTCAGAGGGAATGGATGAGGTGATGCTTTGCGTGTAAATAGGATGACATGATGAGTCCCCATAGACTGCTGAAAGAGGAACAGATCGGCCAACCAAGGCCGATCTGCGAGAGAACCCCCTTGTGAGCAATAGCATGTCTTGAAAAAACACCCCAGCGCTTAACCCTGCGTTTGGGTGTTGGGAGATCGGTAGATCTCATGCAAAAAAGGCTAACTGGTGGCGACAGGTCAAATCGTGTCAAGGAATATGGCTTGAATAAGGGTGGCTGGATTTCAAGGAATCTTGACCGGAGGCTCATTCCCTCCCTACGAACTCACCAGTCGATATCAAAGGGGCAAGAAGACTCACGGGTTCGTTCGCATGTCACAATACTGCTGGTAGGAACTTCTGATTGTCCATCAACAAGCCCGCCCAAAATAAGAACATGCACAAAAGGCCGGCGAGTGGCGAGACACATTTTCTGCCTCCATTGCAGTCTGAAAATGAAGGTCAACCCTTTTGCATCTTTTAGAGGTCTATAACGAAAATGAATCCCTACTATTAAAGGTTAACAGGTTGACTGACTTCTGCATTCTCAGACAAGTCTACCGCCGGGGCTCCTCACGGCCAATGGCAAGAAGAGCCTCATGACGCACGACGCACAGACGATGTTCAATTGGTCAATGCGGCACTAGATAAAAAATACACAATCAAGTGAATCTTCACCTGTCACCTACTCAAGATGTGGGGGTGGCTGGTTTTGCAGTTTGCTTGTGTAGTCAAATGCCGCACTCATCAGTACCCGCAATAAAAAATGCCCACCACTTAGCAAATTGACCAAACATTGATGCTAAATGTCCAACACCTTGGTGCAAACCGATAGACGGTTTCAGATGAAGAGGGATTGTGCAACCTATCTCTGAACCTCTAAAAAGAACTCCTCCCAGTACTACCTAGAAAAACCTTGACTCTGAATGTATACTGAATAATTAGACCCCCAAATAGATGTTTAAAAAAGTAGATTCCCACTAAAATGTATTGGAAACCATTTCTGGCAAGCACTATACTGAAAAACAATCCCCTCCTTCTCGCTGGACACGCACTTTTCGGGGGTCAGGACGATCGCTTTTCGTGGTCGCCGGCTGCTTGCATCCAGCCATGCAGGTCGATTCTGCAACTGAGCTATTTGTTCGGTAGAATGTAGACTCTTGATGAATAAGTTGAACATCCGTTCATATGGGGGAATGAATTAAGAGTCTACATCACAAAGCCGGAATCTACGAATTGGGACGGCAAAAACTGTGGGCCCTGTGATAGGCCTCCCATTCGCGTTTCGCATCTTTTTTGCGCAACGTGAACGGCTTACGATCGCTATGATCTTGCAGTTGTTCATGATCTTGCCTTACCCCTTCAGGACCAAAAATGGCTCATCCTGCACGTTTGTCCCCGAAGCGACCGAGGTTTTGAGGCTCCGACAGCCATGTCCGCCACCTCAGAATCTGTTCAAAAGAGACATCTGCTGTATTTTCGGGCGGGCATGTCAACAAGCAAACCACCCAAATGATTTTATATCTCCAGTCCTGGGGGATCAATCAAACGCATACAAGGGTTGCCCAGGTGAAAAAAGAAAAGAATAAAAACGGATTTGGGGGGATGAGCTTGCTCGCACGCGCAAGCCCAGGCAGCTGGGCGGTGCCCTTTCGGTGATTGATAGACCAACCAATCATGTAGAATCTTGAATTGATCCCCTATAGTAGTAGCAAAGGGCATCGCTACTAGGAGCAAGGGCATCACTACTAGGAGCAAGAAGCTACTAGTAGCTCCTGGCCTTACTACTAGTAACAAGAAGCTACTAGTAGCTGTTTGTCCAGCAAAGCCACCCCATTTGGAGTGTAAAAACCTCTCCTCCTCTCACATCCTCCGTCTGCACTCAAAAAGGGGTCGACTAGGGACATCCAAAAGCCACAAATTGGTGAAAGTGCACAAGATCAGGAGTGTGGCAATTTGGAATGAGCTACAGGAAAGTCCCAGTCCGCTGGCTATGACTTCGCGACGGCGACGACGAAACCAACCTTCATCCGCACAGCAGAGACTTAGGTCAGCGCAGGCTCAGGTCAGGGCACCCCTATCATTTGGATTGTAAAACCTCCGTAGATGGGGCCTTGAAATCATCAGTCGGATGGGCCGACTGGAAAGTGCGTGAGCTCCGGTCTTTTCAGTGACCGAGGTGACCCAGAAATTCTGCAGGGCCGGTTTCGACTGTCTGGAGGATGTTTTTGGGGGAATTCACCACTGGCATCTCGCCAGTGCAGTTTTGCAGAAGTACTCTTCAAAATGCCTCGGACATGTGCTGCCCTAGCTCTAGGCTACTGCAGCTCAAAAATCCAATCGAACGAGTTACAGGCTTCTATAGCCAGGTATACCATGGGTTTGGGTTGTACTTTTGGAGTTGTACTCCATTGAACTTCATCCCAGGCTTCCGCAACCTTCCACATCTGCCCTGTCGAGTCACATGGCTCCGCTCGGCGCTCGGCACATCCGCGGAGCGCGGTCCGCCGGCGCGGTCGGCTGTTCGACAGAGCCATGGTGCGCAGTGAGAGCACGGACCGGAAGGTGTCTGGCCACGTCAACCGCCCACAGCCACGTGCGTGCGTGTTCAGCGCACGGCTCAGGCGGCGCGCATGGTGTTCTTCAGCGTTTGGTGACAGGGGACAGCAACTCGATAGAAACAGGGTCCACACACGGTCCACAATGCTGTTTGCTGGAACGACCCATCTACCGATCTGACTTCAGAGATGTACAACCCATCAACTGATGAGGGTATCTGACTGCAGATAGTGGTACAACCCATCTACCCTTAGTCTATCTGACTTCAGATGGTTGATGCTCCCATCTGACTAAGTTTGCAATTCAATTCAGTGATGTCTCTGGGCGGGTCTATTGATACTGTGAAGAGTCTTTGGGAGGAATTTTTGCCCCGCACTTGTCAATTTGCTTGGATTTGCTCAAGCAACCGAGAAAAACATACCAAATCTTCCCCAGGTTTGGAGAGTGACCCAGGAACTAAAGTGAGAATCACCGCAAAACCAGGGCTTTGGGACCTGTCGACACCTACCAAAACACTGAACGCATCTGAGCGCCCTAATTTCTTCAACGCGAACGACCACTGAGTGGTCTCCCTCATCGGCCCGATGGCAGCGTTTGCTGCGATCCCCCTCGGCTGCGGGGCGCCAATTGGGGTCGACTGCGCCAGTGGAACGGCCTTCCGATGGGCACCAATGGTGGACCATGGTCACTGACGAAGCAAACGGTGGCTTAGGGTCGTTTTTGGGGGGTGTCGGTGCTATCAACGTAGCATAGTATGTGTTCTTATTGTGTTCTTTCTGGTCTTGTTGAAATTCCATTGACTCACTATGAGCCAACAAACGCGCTGCGATCTGGTCGCGGCCAGGCCGAACTCCGCACCGTATCCCATAGACTCGGGACTACCATATTTGCTACCCCAGAAAGATGCCAGGTCCTAAAGGGAACTGTTGGCCAACCCCATGCCGTTCTTGTGTTTTGAAAAAGAAGTATCTTGTATTTCTATATGTAAACGTATATATATATATGTGATATATGCCATATTCATGGATGGTCGTCCTGTGGGTTCCTTCGAATCGGAAGGCGAGCCCTGGGCGAGCGCCGTTTGGGAAGCGCAGTTCAACTTTGAAACTGCTACCCAGCTTCCCATCCTGAAACAGGATGGACGGAAGCCAGGCCCGGTCATAGTGATACATCAACCCTGGGAAGCTGTGTACCGAAAAACATCTTCCATCTTTGGGCAATCTGCCTCTGCACCTAGTGGTCGGCTGAAGTCGCCAGGTACACAGAGTGTTGCAAATCGCCAGGTGCTCAGCCTTTTTCACATCTGTCTCAAGGCAGAAGTCTTTCAGCCAAATGAGCGGGTGTTTTTTCTCGCCAACACAAACCCCCAAAGATGCCCAAGGGGGTGTATGTCAGATCTAAGGGGCTGGATGGAAAGGCCCTCCAAAACTTTTGGATGTGAACAGTAGTCACGTAAAAAATAGGGATTTCCAGAATCAAACCGTGGAATGGGGGTGCTTAGAACACTTGCCTATAGATCTGTTAGCAGCTCGTGGATATAACGATGGACCCGCTTGTCAGACCCTGGCCATCTGGCCAACCGACACATCCTGCGATCACGATGTCCGGTGGATTCCTTACAAAAGCGTCTCTCCGAACTTCACCGAAGAAAACTTCTTGTTGGCGAAGTCAAGGACAAGGACCGTCCAACTGGAGAGTTCCCTGAACCCTGGACCGTCTCAGACTCAGGGGTCTTTTAGAGACACACCAAATCAAGAAATCGTATACCCTAAGAATCTGTACGGGCCTGACTCTTGACAGCTGTCGGACCCGACCTCTGCGCAGGGGTCCGGACTTGGTTCCCAAACCCTATGTATTGCTTCGGGTCCGGATGCTGAGGGGATCACTGAAAATGGGAAGTAATTACAGCTTAATTCCTAATATTTAAACTTAATTCTAATAGCTTATTGTTACTACTAGTAAGGCACCTGTTACTACTAGCGTGGCACCTGTTACCTTCCCTTCGACCTCGCGATCGGATCCCGAACTCGCAGGCGACTGCGCACGCACGTCGAGGAAACGCAGGGACCGGAGTTTGTGGGGAGATGGTAATGGAAGGATCGAAGAGTGGTAAGGTCTACGATTTCAGCAGTTCATGTTCCCAAAGAATGCCAACGGATTTTGGAACTTCGACCTCTGCTTTAAAGAAGGCTGTGCCGGCTGCACGAATTGAAGAATATGAATGTGCGCAATTCCTTTGTTGACGGCAGCATTGATCAAGATATCTGCCCTTGCCAACAGGTGCGGTTGAATAATAAGCTGATATTGTGAAATGGAAGCAATGTGTGGAAGGAAATGATGGTTTATGAGTCCAATGGAGCAAAGAAAAAATGTAAGCTCATTTTGTGCAAAATACATGGCTCATAAATTCAAGGTCGATCATTTCAGGCTCTCAGTTCATATAAGCTATAGCACTTGTCAAAGGAGGAGCAGACTGGACGTATTCTTCCATAATCCCCAAAATGACCCAGTCAAGTCAAGTCAAGTGTTCTTGAAAGAAGGAAGTCCTGTTTCGCCCCTCCAAAAATCCCCAGAAAGAATAGGAGAGATTCCTGAGAAACCGCCAAGTCTAACTGGGGTCGCCAACCGCTAATCTCCAACCCAAAAGCGATGGCCTCCAACCTACTAGCAATGACCTCCAACCTAAAAGCGATGGCCTCCAACCCAATAGCGATGGCCTCCAACCTACTAGGAAAAAGACATGGAACTTGATTTGTCCGTCCCATTTGGAAGTTGCGCAGCGTTCTGCTTCGCTCAAGCCTCCCAGCGGATGCCTGGCGAGCGAGACACCGACAGCACACCACAGCACAGCACCCTGGAATACCCTGAGATCGGTATGGCGATTGAGGTCGAAGAATGGATCAAGTAGGCTGTGTTTGAATTTGTCAAACAACTCGAGTGCGGATTGTACAAAACTGCTGGATCTGGTTCACATCAAGAAAATGGTCAAGGAGGCTGTGCCATCTCAAACCACTTCACATCCATATGAGGACTCATGGGTAGAATCCTTATAAGAAAGAGATACGAAAAAGGCAGCATCATGCATCGTAACAAACGGCCGCAAAAGGTATTGGCCCGCACGGAAAGAGCATCGCTATGTCTACGTATAATTCGAAACATAGCTTCATCCCTTCAACCAGTGGCCTCCCCATCATCCTTGAGCTGGATCTCCCTCGAGTGGTCCCAAAATAGATCGAAACGGCGTCCAATTCTCTTTAGATGGAATCTGCTCTTTTATGCAAAGGCCCTCTATACGGAGAGTTTATTCATAGGCCCTGGGAGGGCAAAAGGGGTATTCAGAATACCGCCCCTTGTGGGTCCTGGTCTATTTGGGGATCACGTGCTGCTCGACGCCCTTTTTGCTCCGGCGGGTCGTCTCACGTGCTGCTCCAGGCTTCGTACGGGAAAGGATTCCTGGGCGGAGGAAGGATGTGTGACGAAGGAAGTGGTTCCGCAATGGAGAGCTCCACGGTTAGGGTGGCGTAAGAAAACGGTTGAGAGTGGTTGAAGAATTGCCCCAAATTATTGCGGAGCTATTAACATTGCAGCAATCAGCAGACTTCCAGGATGTAGAAGCATCATCAACAAAAAGGCACAAGGCAGGCAACCACCTGCAAGTTTCTACATAATGATGTAATTTGTAATTAGTAAATAGTTGAGTCTGACTTTGTGAGAAATCTGAAGAATCCGATTATTACATCGGTTTACAATTGGTTTTAAACCTAGGACCCAAGACTTTTACCAAGAAAACCCACCTCCCAAAGTCAGCCCTTTGGCTTCCGGCTTGATCGGAGGGTTTCGTCTTCGGGTGAACGAGGCACGCTTTGGCGAAGTGCCGCGCATAGACGTTACTGAGCTCCACCGGCCCCACCAGCGCGCTGCGCTTCTTCGTCTCGTTGACTCGGAGAAGATGACCGGGCCGCGCGCGAAGGGTTGGAGGAGAGGAGCAGTTGAGGTGTGGGAGGATTTTGGGGGACACAGATGGACACAAATCAGAACCAGTGAACAAATGCAACATGGGGTTCCACCACTCTTCAGAATGTACCATCACTGGTGGATGGAATTGGACTTGTCCAAACCGCGACGGCAAATCCATGATCCTCCCTGGAACGGCTGAAAATAGGATGGAGAACGGGATCCTTTCAATTAGGCCGTTGGAGTTTGCCCCGGCTCCTCCTTTTGACAGCCAAACCCGTAGAGAGTTGTGGACGCTGAAGATGATGGGTTCATGGATCCTGCGATGGTTTCACCATGTGTCGGATGTCCTTACTCTTTTTTGGGGCCCAATAGGGTTCACGCCTGAGTATGGTTCAATACCACCGCCAAAAGAGGCACATGAGCACCCCTGCTGGGTTGATCCATCAAGCCCCGTTCTCAGTGTTCGATCTAGTCGAGTGGCTGTTCATTAGTTGACCCAACCAGGTGAAATATGTTCAAACCCTGCCCCGTGGAGATCTTTTGGATGATTGCAATTGCCTGTAGGGCAAGGGACCTCTCCATTTGTTCCCAACCAGGCGAACTATGTTCAACCACTCGTACGCACGAGTTGCTCAGCGTCATGTTCACAGAGTATGACCTCGGCCGTGGATGGCCATGGTCTGGGCGTTATCGCCATCGACGGAGACCGGAAGAGTAGGAGGAGGAGGAGGAGGAGCAGGAGGAGGAGGAGGATGGTAAAGGAGGACAATGACAGATCACGAGGAAGGTTGACTTTACTCAAGACCTGCATCTGTCCAAAGCGTTCCAACAATGATTTCCTCCGTTCACCCATCATTCCCACACCTGATCAATACCTGTTCACAGCATCTGAAAACGCGTGGCATCCACCTACCCAAGTCCGGACGCCAGTCCGGACGTCATCTTTGAAAGGAGCCTCCAGTATGTTCAAAGATCAGTCAAACGAGTCACATGAGCCCCGTAGCTTCTGTCCCTCTTGAAAACATGAGGTTTTGCAGGCTCGCGTTTGTACTCCATCAGCCCAAATAAGGGGCTCTATGTCTATCGCCATGACAAGCATGTTTTAAGCACCCGTCAGTTGGTTGGTTCACCAGGAATTGCTTGAAAGTCGGATTGAAGGCCGTTGTGTCTAAAATCTCTTGACTGCTTCTTCTGCCAATTTCAGGAAATGAAGACCCAGCTCCCTGCCCCATGATGGATCATGATGGTTCTTTCCACAACCCTTGCTCCCTACGTCCGAAGAACAACCCTGCACCCAGGACGATGAGCAGACCCCACAACCCTCCAGACTCCCACCCAACTCACAGAACCTCAGAAAGCCCATGGGTCCGGTTGTTTTTGGTGGCATGGTACCTGGCAAAATCCCCCCAACACTCGATACAAGTCCAGTCTAACCTGCTAAAACCTGGTCAAACTGACCTCCTTGAGTCGTGTTTTTGTATGACCAACTCCAGTAATTTGAGGTCTTTGACCTGTAGGGCGAACACCTCTCCCCAAGTGCTTCTTCTCCCAACGCACTTCGACAAACCTCAAATAACAGGAAAACAAAAAACAAAAAAACGCTGCCCTGCCGTGACGCGGCTCGCGCTGCTTGTGACTCTTGAGCTCACAAACCACCTTCAGCTCATCCTCCTTCGCCGCACCTGGTCTCGCACCCGGTGCCGCTGGCCCCTTCACCAGGGCCGTCACATGACAGTCGTGCGGAAGTCGGCTGGAAACTTCCAGCCACTGGGCGGAGGAGGGCGGAAGGTCCGTCGGACGTGGTTTTGGCACGTTTCAGACACCAGCGATGCCCTGGGTCGGAAGGTGTCCGATGTAGATGAAGTGATGGATTTTTCTGAGGGTCAATAGATAGATGGGTCAACAGCGCCTCTCAAGCACTGCCCAAGATCTTTCACGGTGAGGAGAAAAAGAGCCATGGGTTCCATGCATGACACCCCTCCCTATGTAGAATCTTGATGAATCAAACCCCCCAAGTTTGGAGAGGTTTTGCAGCCTGAGGCGTTCTATGGCGTTGTTCATCCAGATTCTACCTGATTGGTTGGTCTATCAGGCGCCCAGCCGCCCAGCCTGCTCTTGTAAGCTCATCGTCCAAACAGCTGGCAACCAATGAGTCCCACCATCTGGAGGTCTCATGACCGAAAGCCCACCAACCGTTTTCAGATGCTGAAGACAGTAGCTGAATCCATATATCTCTCTGCTACGGCACCAGTCCAATCAAAAGATCCCCTGCTATTCGGACTACAGGGACCCTCAGGTCACCACTGGCTTGGTCTTCGGAAACATGGTCCACCAACCATGGGTCAATGTTGAGGGTTCATGTGGTTCGTCTGCGGATGATCTTCATCCTCCAACCCCACTCCACCCACTCCAGAGAGAAGCTCTCTTCACCTCCAAGTGGCTCAAGGGCTTATGCAGCAGGAACCTGCACTGTGCCCAGACCGTATTCGGTTTTCCCGGCGCCGTCCACAGCACAGGCGCCGTCCCGTCGCTTTGGTCGTCGGCAAAGATGACATCCCACCAGGCGCAGAGGCCATCAATGAGGGCGTCGTGCGAGCGCGAGGGAAACTTCAAAGTGAAGGACATGCCTCGGTGCTTGGTCGGCGCTTGCGGCGAAGAGAAGAAACATTCACAACATCTGACAGTTGCGGGGCAGCCAAGTTCCTGCAATCACCAGTGGAAGGGTTGAGAATCAAAAGACCGGCAGTAATTACGTGTCCTTTTGGTCGGGTTTCTGGGCAGAATCCCACCCTTCCACCCGAACATCCCCACCGAACATCCCCTCCGGGTTCCCTGCCAACTCCCGAACCCCAGGGGGAACCCCTCCACCAGGCGTCGATCCCAGTGGGCAGGATCCTCCGGGCCCTCGAGATCCAGGAGCTCTTCCGGTGCCTGCGACCCGCGCGACCCGCGCGACCCGGTTCCAGCGGTGCGAACGGTGGTGCGGCTCAGGGTCTGGGTGGGTCCGGTGCTGGCTCTGAAGGGGGCCGAGCTTTCGGCCTGTGGGTCGATCCATGTCATGAATTCGGTGGAGATCCACCGGGGCGCCATGGTGGAGTGGGAAAGAAAAGGACTTCTGGATAAGATCCATCTCGACTCCAACAGCGACAAGACCTAACAAGCTCAAAGAGATGATTCTAAGATATTCTGAGATATTCTGCTCCAGTTTCCAATGGCATCATTGTTTCCTCCAAGTTTTTGGTGTTGGTTTCAGCCACATGCCTGCGGTCAACCGCCCAATGTCGCGTGAAAAACACGCGCCTCGTCTGGGGGTACCAGAAGTTGCTCAGGCTGGACTACATCTAGGATGAGCCTGAACAGGCAAAGGGACCAAGGGATGAAGAAGATTGCAAATTTGGGTAGCTGGCAGCAGAAATGGACCCTGGGTTGTCCATGCCCCAAGTAAACGACCACCCTTCTTTGAGCATGCCCCAAAATTCCCGAAGGAAGCGCTGCTGGCTGGAGTTTAGCGAGCTGGAATGCAACCAGACGGGCATCTAAAGGTACAGTTTCAACGGGGGAGCCTTGTCAGCGGCAGACCTAGCAAAGACTTCACAGCCATAAACACCAGCCATTCTCCGAAGGCAAACCCCCGCAGCATGACAAACGGTCAGAGAACAAACACCACCACCTGCATGCTCACCTGTTCCTGCCAAGAACGGTTTCGTTTGGCCAAGAACTCAAGACCTGGGAAGGAATCACAGACGATCACAGATCTTCTGTGGTCCATGAGATGAAAAGGTTCTGGAACTTAGGTGCCTTGCAAGAATTCCATCACATTGCACGAGGAGGTATCTAGCCTCGCTTGACTCTCCCAACTTGAGGGTGAGCTCGCTCCTCGGAGCTCCCTCCTCGGGTCCAGGAGCTCTGGTCCCATGTTGTGCGTCCAATGCATGGACTCTGCGCTTTTTTTTCAGAAGGCCAGGGCTCAAGATATGAGTTTCCAAAGTCCTACTTACATCTACTTACTATCTCCCACTAGTTGGTTGCAGGGAATCTCTTCCAAGCAAATGAGCAAACATGAGCCATCCAACCCATCCCAGCCCTCCACCCCAAATTCTCTGGCAACCCCACTGGTAAAGCACTGGTGCCAGGCAGCTCCTTGCGCACTTGCTCCTCAGCAAAGGGCAGGGCCGAAGACAAGTCCAAACCCATGAAGTCCTGGGCGCCGGCGCCACGCCACCGGACAAGTCCGGTGCGGCTTGGCGGCGGTTGGTTTTGGACCGTCGCTGTGGGTTTTGGACCGTCAGGGTACCAGACCAAGGGTACCGCGTGGGCTTCTTGAATGACATGTGAGATGCGAACCACTCACATGGGCCCTCCCAAAGAAAGGCCCACATCAAAATGGAGCCCTGGAAGCCTCCACTCGCCTCTCCTCCAAAGCTGCATTGACCCGCCAAACCCACTCGTGAGTCGGGTCTTCACAGGCACCGAAAGAAGACCACTCGTTCCAAACAATTCAGCGACGGTCTGGACTTGGAATGTCCAGGACACCGGAGAAGAAATATCGCTCCCGAGCTTCCCCCCAGTGGATTGGGATTTACATGGATTTACCATGACTTACCCAGCTCGCAAAGGAAAAAAACATTGACAAACCAAGTGAAGTTACCCAAATTCTCTTCCAAGTCTACGCAAGTCGCCTCGCGAGGTAGACAACCCAAGTCCAACTTACTCGCTCCACCGGTGCAGATTTCGCTCGCGAAGAACCACGCACTGCCTGAGGCGGTCTCCAGCTGGCCATTTCGCGATCCGAGGCTCGGTGGTCTGCCAGAAGCTGTGCCGCGCGCGCAGTTCAGCGCCCAGTGTCGGGTCGGCAAAGGGGGAAAGCCTCGCCGCGCGGACGAAAACCGAACACGTCGCCGTCTGACAGGTCTGTCAACAGGATCCATCTGGAGAATTGGGAGAAGAAAAGGGACGAACATGTCAAACACGGTGTGGGGGAGTGGAAACTCAAAGCACTTGAGATGAATATCGAAGTTTGTTCAGAGAAATGGAATCCTGTTTGCAACAAGCCACACCACTGGAAAACTCGGTTCCATGTTTTTCTGGCGTGGGGGAAGTGTGGGAAAAACCGTTGAGGAATGGGTCAGTTGCTGCCTCCCTTTCCTCGGTCCTGGGCTCTAAGGTTTTGCACTTTTTTTGCACCACTTGTTCGTTCGTCAAATCAAAACACTTCCGATGTTCTCAGTCGCAAAGGGACAGGGATGCGATCCATGAGCATTGCCCGGGTGCCCAGAACATCCACTCACTTGGGGATTAAACACCACCCCTTTGTGACTCCTGGTGATGTTCTCAGTCATTGTCCCACTTTCATGAAGTTTCATGGGCCCCCAGTCGGCGGATCTAATGACTGATGCCGACTGTTGATGCAAGAAATCCAGAACAACACTGCTGGGAAATGTGACAACTGCAGACTTTATTGGCAAGAGTGTAGATGTTGGCATAGAAGAAGCGGCCTTACCAGCCTTACCTTACCCTCGTTTGTTCATGCAAGTTCATTAAAGAATTTAACAAGAAACAGTAAATGTTGTCAGTGCGTGTCGGTGCCATGATAGAACATGACCCCACGGGATCTTTTCGTGAAATCGATCGAACTTCGGGTGTCATTGGTATCCGAGGATTCATCTCGAACGCTTCCACGGAATCTGAACCTCTCCAAGTCACTTGATCCGAGCTTGCGATGGCAAAATGAGGCCACCTGGCGATCCGAGCTTGCGGAGGAAGAAAAGGATCGCCTTGAGTCAGATCCAAAGAAGTGGCGATGCGGATCCAAACACATGGGATCCAAACATGTCGTAACCAACACAATCATTACACCCCAACTTCCAGTGTTCAAGGTCTGGGATCTTGCAAGTTTTCCTGACTGGCACTGGTAAAGTTATTAACAACAGGAACGTTTCTTCCAAATTGTGTGAAGCTCAATCATTGTGCAGCTGGACAGCATAATACAGCAAGATCCTCATCCTCTACAAGAGTCCACAAGTGTGGCCCGTGGCTATTGTTGGTGCGCAGTTTACTCAAAACTATTTGTTGTTCCCACATTGCGCAACGACCTTGCCTGGCTTCAGAAAGCGCTTGGCTTCGGTGACCACTTGCAATCCTACCTGCCGAGCCCAGCCAGAAAACGCCTATGATTGACACACACGCGCACGCGCGCACACACACACACACCAGAGAAAACAGCACGTTCAGCCCAGGTTAAAGTACAAAAGCCGGAGTAGTGGGGTGCAAATCTTGAAGGTTCCAAATGCACATCTTGAAGGTCCAAATCCTCCAAAAGCTCACGAGGTGCAAACATGTCAATTGCAAAAGCCGACGTGTGCTGACCTGGATAGTCCTGTAACGGCCTGAAGACATCTATAGCAGTAGAGAGTAGCTAGAAGCATTCACCGCTTCCGGCGCAGATACACCGAGTTGATCAGACTCGATATCCCATGATTGTGGTAGCTTCGTTGAGTGTGGTCCCCCTCAACTAATCACGCCGCATGCCGCACGGGTCCCTGCAAATACCGAAAAGTAAAACAAACTATAAAGACGATCCGGCAGGAACCCGTGACTCCAGGGTGTTCTTCACACACACACAAACACAGTTGATGATCTGCTGCAGTTTGAGGACCTGCATCATCTCAGACCTGCACTTTGTCTGACCTACGGCGCGCTGAGTTAAAAAAAGAACTCTGTGACCCAGTGGCCTCACCCACCAAGAAGTGAGAAAAAAGCTCTGAGACAATGATGTCGACAGAGCCCAAAGGCACATCCTCAGGAGACCAAAGGCACATCAGTCGGATGATAGTGATACTCTTAGCTGTGTAGGCTGATCCTTTGCTATGGGTGTAACCTTTAGTGACTCAGGACTGTTCGGGTCTAAGAGTGTGCCGAAATTCGGACAGTCAAGGTTTCACCATCATTCACCGAATCTAATCTACAATCTACAATCTAAGGTGGATCCGGGAGAACATGAACAAAATCCCGGGAACTTTGCACGGGATGCTTACCAAGTATCTCTAACCGACCCGTTGGCAAAGGGGGAAAACAGTGCGCATGCAGCTCTTGAGCTGGAAGGGAGTCCTTGCTTGAACACCCCACTTGCTTCTTGGAAAGATCCCACTTACAGCTGGAAGCTCATTATAATTAATGGTTGCGAGAGTTTTCGGTAGGTCTTGTGACTTGCGTAATTATGTGTCTATATGACTACAATGATCCTATGTTGAAAACCTTTGTTCGGTTGATCCTAGCCTGAACTGGAAGAGGATTCTTGTGTTATCCAGGTAGCTCACGATTTAGGAGCCTTACCTTTTTGTTACTAATCGGTGTCAATACGTGGGTCCCCGCGATGCCCTTCTTGACTTGACTGATGGACTGGATTGAAGCGGTGGTGCATGCCCATCCGTCGTTTGAAAGGGAAAACGGGGAGAAAAACGTCCCCACGCATCATCCCTATGCTATCAGCATTGTGGCAGCGGACACAGGAACCACGGAACTGACCCGTCCAAGCTGCGAGAACAAATCAGGAACCACCCGTCCTCACATGTTTCTCTGCCTCCGACGGTGTCCATGTCACTTCGCTCCCTGAAGAAGGTGTGATCCCATCACCTTAAGCCTCCCCTTAAGCCTGTGTTTTCCACTCCCCAACCTCCTCGACACGGCAAAAAATAGAAATAAAACAACTCGAGATCCGATCGGCCACTCCAGAATAACTATAAAACAACTGGAGATCCCGAGATCAACATCCGCGGTCCGTCTGTCCGCTCGGTTGGAGGTCTGTCTCCGGGACTTCCGGACATCCCATTCAGTTCGGTTCACCTCTTCAGTGATGTCCTCCAAGTGTTTAGGGATCACATCCAAAATCCCTGCAAAGCCATTGGCCCGACTCAGCCTGCGCAGAGAAGGTGGAGGATGTGCAACTGGTTGGCCTGGTATGAAGTTGCTACTGTTTCGGGTATACGGTATGACTCAGTAAACGGTATGACTATTTGACTGTTTGAAGTACTGGACTAGTAGGTGGCACAATCCCCTTCAAGTTTGCTGGTTTATATGGACCCCCCTCTGTCTAAGACATCTTGGGGTGCCAGTGCCATCTACTCTCAATCCACTATTAGAAGACTCGAGAAGTGACTCATTTCTGAACTGACTAGTTCTTCGCCGACCTATTTTAATAGCCACCGTTTTTGCAGTGGGTGTAGGAGGTCCGCTGCAACAACAGTGGCTCCTTGAGAAATCATCTGCGTACACAGGTGGTGCGTGAGAAATTTGTCGTTGGATCTATGATGAATGCTTCCAGGCCCCCTGCCACAGCTATCACGTGGACTCCTGAAATGGAGCCCATTTTTGTTGTGCAGAGAAAGGAACGAAAAAGTTGGACATCAATGCCCCATCTCACTCTGCTTCCTACTACGGGGTCAAGGGAGCTGTTCTTTCCTCGCTTTTTGGTCGGGGGAGACGTCCCCAACCCCCAAAAAGCGCAGGGGATCCACGGTCTACGGCCGCTTCGGACTGAAGAGATCACACGTTCCATGAGGTGTCTGGGCCCCGGGCCGTCTGGACCCAGACCCACGGAGCCGGCGTGGCATGGAGCGACGATCTGGTGACGGCAGGGGCGCCGCCATCGGACGTCAGGAGTTCGAAAGGCGGTAGATTTTCGACCCATCCACTGAGTGCGCCCTAGATGGGTCGAAAACCAGATGGGTCGAAAACCATTTTCGTCCAGTTGGTGTGGGTACCTGGAACTAGTGGAGGGGTGTTGCCCTCCCTTTGCCTGGAGGCCACACGCGCAATCTCCGACGAGCCCTCGATCGCATAGACCTGCCAACGGGCTTTCGGAAGCCCCAACATGAGGCGAACAGAAAAAAAGGAACACGGTGGGTGGGTGGCACCAGGTGATCTCGGCGAAACCCACGGTGATGACCGTTTTGGTCAAGTCGTCAAACTGCTGACTCACCAGGGACCGAAGAAGAGCCGGAACCAGGAACCGGTCACGAACGGAAGAACCAGCGTCCTGGATTTCCCAACATGGATGTGGCCAGACCATATAAAACAATACAAAAGACCTTACTAAGCCAAATGTCTCGGTGGTGGAAGATGCACTTCTGCCAGTACAGGGGCCCAAACCATGCTAGCCCGTGTGGCCTAGTCGTCCCTCACGGTGCCCTCATGTGCCCAAACCGTGCAGGCCGTGTGGAAGGCCTTCTTGGCGCCGTATTTGGCTGCCAGCATTGCCAGAAAGCCAGATCCAGTGCCGATGTCCTGGGCTAGCATACTCAGCGGACGCACGGACAAGTCTTGAGTGGCACAATGGCCTTGTAAAGACAACTGAAAAAATGCCACCACGTCTAATGCATTCTTCACCAAATCATGCAGTGCCAACTCTCAGAAGAACAAGGCTTGTATTATATAGCATAGAAATTGAATGACATCTATAGAACTTCAAAACTCATCCCAGTTGTTTCTCATGTCGACTCGTCCAAAAATGCCGCAGACGTGGTCTCTGATCCATGAACAGGTCGGCTGGGGCTGGGGCGTGTGAAACTTTCCACCCCCCGTCAGACGGTCTAGGAGTCTAGGAGGGAAGGCTTCATGATCTTCATGTAGACTCTTTATTCACAAAATCCCCCCAAATGGACTGCAAAACCATATGCGTTGTCTTAGAAGGACCCCCTCTCAAACCCCCCCAGGATAACTATATGAGCAAAACCTCTATGAGCTTGGCAAAATGAAACAGAATCCAGAGTCTACCAGACCACCGACCAACTTCTCAGTTTCAAAAAGCTACCTGCCACACTGCCCACAATGGATGTGGCACCATACGCTCGCGCTTCACAGGGGAGACCTCCTCCGAAGAATAGGTGGAAGAGAAGGCCCCAGCGCTCACTTCATCGCAGCTGCTCACGTTCCGACCGAAAAGACATCGATCAGTGAAAAAACGATCACTAGGAACAAGGAAGCCACCAACGGGGCTCCTAGCGAGTCCGGAGCCGATCGGACGTCCGCTAGACGAACGAGTAACTTCACAGCCTTCACTTCATCGCCCCACCAGGGTCCATGGATTCGTCGTTTTCATCGTGTTCACCTCTGCACCGCTGGGGTCCGCGGCACCGCTCGGTCCGTGGCCGAAGGCGCCATGACCGTGGCGTTGGGCCGATGGCGCAGGGCACGCTCCAGCGCCGCGCGGTAGGGCTCGTTGCGCGCGGCGTCGCGCAGCATGCCCTCCTGGGAACCGGTTCGAGCGCTCCCGGTGGTCTTTTGGAGCACTCGCATGTCCGGACTGAAGAAGATCAGGCGTCTGTGCATGGTTTGGAGCTCTGAAACAGGAGTCTGCGCTGTTTTCGGTCGCATTCCGGTTTCAGGTTCTGGACCGAGGGCAAATGACGATCCACGAGAGCGTGGGAGCGTGGTTTGGGAGTTCTGTCTATGGGTGGGACTGGAGGTGGGCTAGCCAACACCACCTCGCCAGGATACAAAAACCATCTCCCCCCAAAAACATCCAAGCCTCACGTTCCGCCTCCGGCAGAAAAAGGGACATCAGACGGTCTAACGAGTCTAACCATCTGCCTCCACTTCAGGCTCTGTTTTGCGGGGACAAGAGTTGTCGGGTCGTCGGTTTTTGGGGGAGACCTCCGAGTCCCAGCAGGGGGCTGTGGTCAGGGTGTCAGTCATCGGAGCTCTTGTTTCAGAGCTCCGGAGAGCTCTGTTTCAGAGCTCCCCCCAGTTCGACTCCCAGATCCATCCAACAGAAAAAGACCCTCAAATTACTGTAGATAGAAAAGTGGATCCCCACTCATTACTAATTGCAAGGAAGCCGCTTCTATCTATTTGAGGACCACTAAAAAACCCATTTCTTTCTTCCAAACTTCAAAAAGGAGTCTCTTCAGTCACTCCTTACGATGGCTTTCGGGTATCACCAGACGTCTAGTTGCAGTCTGTTGTGGGCTTCCAAGTAGGTTTTAGTTATAACCATCCCCCCAAAGTGCCCAACAAAGGATGTGTGACATGTGTGACATGACTGCCATTTCTGGACCATCGGTCAGGACCATCGGTCTGTTCTCTATCATGTTGGGCATTTCGCGAAATGCCGTGAGCGTTCTGCGCATCATTTCTCCTGGTTCTTGAGTTTGCCATAGTAGTGCTTGTAGGCATCAATCCGCGCAAAGCCGCGCGTCGCCCCGCCAAACCGCCGCGACCAACTCGGGCGACCAGTCGTGGTGGCGGTCAGCCGCCCCGTCCCGAGCAGACGAGACGGGGCGGCGGAAGCCCGTGTCCATGGCACAAGGAAGGCCATGGAGAAGCGATGGATTGATCATGGAGTTTCCGTTTTCTGCTTCTGGGACGAGTGGAAAGCACAAAACCAACGAGTGAGTCAGCAGTATACGGGTCCATTGGGTATTCCACACATGGTGAGCTGCCAAACAACAGCAGAAATCAAACCAGTAATTGCTCTGCAAACTGCAAGACCTGGCCATCGAGATCCATTTCACTCACACTCTCCGTTGGTCGCTCAAAGGCTCGTCTGGCTATTGCATGGTATAGCTTCCTGGTCGTGTAAGACCAATCGCATGGAAAGCTCAGCTGGCAGCAGTCGTTCCATTTTTTAAAGGCGTCTTGTTCCCAAGCGGCTAAGAAGCCACAGTTTGAAGCTCATCTCCCATCTGAGATCTGTTCACATTTCAAGTTAGACAATACAACTGTGAAAAGAACACAACAATGAGTTCCGACAGAAATACATGCCTCAACCGTCTACGGCCAGAATTCTTGCCTTAGGAAGGCCCAGGTAGTAAGATTCTACATGGCCATTTTGTGGGTCCTGCCACGACCCTCGCGCAGCCTTCAGCGTCGCCAGGAGGAAGGTCATGAGCTCCTGGGGTTCTTTCCGTGTTCGAAAAGGCGGAAAACGATCGAAAAGGCGAAGTGCCAACGTCTTGGTTAAAATGACCTTCCATCCTGGGTGAGTGTCTGACGAGGTCCCCGGCCAAACTAGACTGCAGGAACTACGTACTGCAGGAGATGGGCAGTCTGAATAGATGGGTCGTCTGAATCCTCTCGGTTTCTAAGACCATTTCCGCCGAGTTCGCACGATTAGGCCCTAAGCAATTGACACCTTGACCCTCAGCACATTCCTCAATATCTTTAAAACTCAGGGTCAGCACTCGGCACAGGCAGGCAGGCAGGCAGGCAAGATGTTCAGAGCCCTCACCAGGAAGATACCAAAGAACTTCGTAGAATCTACCTGGAAACCAAACAGAGCCTGGCTGAGCTCTGATGCATTGGTCATGAGGTTTTCGGGGGTCCATCATCCCAAGGCCTTGCAAAAGCCTTGCGATGTGGTGCAAAAAGAAAAACATACCACCAGGTGTTCTCTCGAGCCATCTGCCGACACTCACCGAGCTCAAACATCTGGTTTCACGCTCGGAGGCCCAATCTAGAATCTGACCTCTGCGTGGTCACTGACAGATCAACACCACTCTTGGAAAGGTGCTTTCCCGCAAGGCCCAAGGCCCACGAAGCCCACGAAGCCCACGAACCTCGCCTCCGGCAAGAGTCTACGATCGAGGCCTCAGAGAAACGAGGTTTTTTTTGGGCGAACGAGTGCCACTTCAGTGCCACGGTGAGGCCCGGTGGGCAGAGTGTGCAGTCAACTTTGAATCGATTTGGGGTCCAAACAAAAACAAAGACCCCCACCTTGGGTGTGCATCTCTACGTTTCACCATATCAGTGAGCCCAAAGAGTGCCACAGGGTCCCACAAGTGCCACCATCTCTACGTTTTGCATCGCGGTCGATGGATCGGTCGATGGATTGGTCGAACTCCGTCGGTTTCAACTGAAACCCGAGGTGCTGAGATCCATGGGGCCAAACAGCCCAGGTCTCAGGAAGTTTGAGGGAGCCAATGTCTCGGTGCCATAGAAATCTGTCGAAAGTGTGTGTGTGTGTGTTGTATAATATACATTATACCAAAGCCCCCTGGCCAAGGTATCTATTCAGCGCCCCTTCCGGCATGAATGAACTACCCTGTGTGCGTGTGTGTCAACTCCTGTTCCCAAGGAACTGTGTTTGTACAGAAATGCAGGGGGGCAATGAACACTTTGGAAGGCTTTGCCCAACGAAAACCTTTCCATTGTGTTGTGAAATGACTTTGGGACGCCGAAGTCGCATACCTGCACCAATGTTAAGCTTGGCCGTGTTTCAACTGTTGACCAAGCTGTGACTCTATGTTTCCCCTAAAGTGCTGTTCAACACTTCAATTCTCTGACCCTTCGCCTTGCGGTTCCTGCAAGTCAAGGTCTAATGTAATCAGTAGCTTCCGGGATTTCCCAACTGATAGAGCTCTTGCGAGCATGGATCTAAGTGTGTGTGTGTGTGTTGTATATTGATATCATCACTAGTCGACTTCCTTTTCACACTTCCTTGAGTGTCGAATTGATGCACCTGACGTGACAAGTACCACATCTGGGGCACTTTGGAAGGCCTGGCCTCCCACTCGACTCAATCAGAAAGGAGGTGCTCCATTTGGACCGAGCCATAGGGGGACTGAGCGGTATCAATCTTGCTCTGTCTGTCGACCGCGAACAGCCGAGCAGCAAAGAGGAAGAAGACTCTTCACAACTGCGACCCATCATCTTCCGGATCTCATCCACTATGGTGATACCTGGACGTGGGCAGGGAGGGAGGGGAATCCCCCTCCAAAACCTGGCCCGGACCAAGGATGTGAAGTACACCTCCAGTTGTTGTTGGGAAGGAGGAGCAGTACAGCTCCGCTGTAAGTAACGAACCCCATGGGGATCGTTTCTCTGCAAATGGTTGGATCTGTTTGGATCCGTGGGCGGCCTAAAGAGGGGGGGAACGTGTTCCAGATCCGTTGCATGACTGCAATGAACCTGTGTATCACGTGCGAAGTCCATGGATGATATCTGAAGGCCACTATTTGATATCACTAATGACCAGATTTACTGCCTCATTAAGCGTGCTTGCCTTCAAGCTTGCCTCGAAAGAATCAAACTTACGTTCAATGTTGATCAATAGCTCGTCAATTATCAATTCATCTGAGATCTGAAAGATGTTGCAAGGATTCCAGACACATCCATTCAGAAATGCATCCACTCGTACATATCACACACATATCGACTCATTCATCCATTGAGCCATGCCATATCCAAGATCTACTCCATGATTAAAACCATTTAACACCTACTACCCCATGCAACGTCAGCTCGGACTCCATGGCCACCCGCCTATAAAGGCCACCACGGGTAGGAGGACGGCTCTCATGGGAATCCATCCTGTGCGGCATGCGGATCGATGTGATCTTTGGAACTGTCTGGGAATCGTGTTTTGGGGGATACGAAGGGTTCCCAGAAAAACCGCAATCTGGATGAACCGCAATCTGAATTGAAAGGTTTTTTGGAGTGTTCATGTTTGAAAGAACCGCAATCGATACGACGCCCCCAAAATGATCTTGCTTGGCCCAGCCCAGGGGGTGCTCTTGATCGAAGACCCAGCCTGACCCTCTGGCTTTTGATCCATGACCAGTCCAAGCAGGAAAGCCCAAAGACTGGGGAGGGGGGTCGAAAAAACAGCTCGACTCGGAAATGAGTCCGCATAGTCCGCATCAGCGAAGATGGCAAGTCTTCAACAAGGAGATCCTAGAAAGGAGCTTTCAGTGTTCAACAAGTCCCTGCCGTTCTTCAAGTGCTAGATTAAGTACTTTTGACGCGATGCAGGAACCGCTGCGTGAACTTCCTCTTCCATTGCTCTGCTGGGGTATCTCAATCTCCACTGATTTTGCCCCAAGAACACCCGATCAACAGCAGAGGAAAGGTCCGTCGGCTGACTTGTTGCTTGACCGCCATCCCACCCGCCATTGCGCCATTGCGCCATGGTGACCGCCCACGAGGCTTCGCAGGTCAGGGCCGCCTGTCTTAAAAGCTTCTTGGATGGGACGGCAGTAGATGGCCGCGAGCCCCATCACGATCTGAGGCGGCGAGCCCCATCGTGTGGCTTCGCGTGGCGGCGCGCAGTTTTGGGGCTGGGGGAGAAGATCATGGTCGAACTGCAAAGTGTTTGGAACTGCGAACTTCAGGTTGGTCACATGTTCAAACCCTACTCGCTCACAGAAACAACAAGTGCTGTTCTGAAAGATCTCCTTCATCATGAGTCTCAAAGTCTCAGAGACTCAACCTTGCAAATGCAAATCACCTGGCGGATAGTAGTCAGACACTCAGGATTACAAGAGTCTGCATGAGCCTATTGCGTGAGTGCTTCAGGACCTAATTCTGCATGGAAAGATCTCTGAAAGGGCATGGGATTTCTGGGTTGTGATCTCCGCCATGTGTCATATAACTTGGATCTATCCTATTACCTGTAACAGTGGATGTTGATGGTTAGTAAAGGCCTTGATCGAAAATGACACTAATTAATCTAATCGAAGGTATTTCATGGCATTTCTTCACCCCATTTGCCTCAAGGGCTGCTCAATGATCATCCCTCAACTCCGCACACCTATACCACTGGTTCTGCGAAGCGCCCTCCTTCTCCGACCGTTTCCCCCCGGAAAAAAAAAGCATGAAAAGACTACCGACGCGCCGGCGACGCCACGCCGCATGGCGTCCCTTTCGACAGGCTCAGCATCCGGACTTCGCCCACGAACATCAGATTCAGCGTGCTGTTCGGGAAGCAGTACGGTGCCGTTCCAAAGCCCAAGACCTGTCACGGCGCGGTAAACCCGCAGCGCGGAAGAACGCGCGGCGCGTTACGAAAGCATCGACCGGCACGTGTTGGCCCGGGGGCAGTTTGGTGAGGTTGGCTTGGTGAAGTTGACTGGGAGCAAAAGATAAACAGCAAGTAGCAGAGAGAGAGAGAGACAACACAACACAAGTTTATTCTTGTACACTGCCAGCAACCAGCAAGATCATCGAAAAGGACTTTCTTCAGCTAATTTGCAAGACAAAACCTTCAACAAGCACTGATGGAATATGGCCCAAGTTCACCTTCTCCCTCCCACCTGATTTGACCCATCTCCCTTTCTGATTTCCTGATTTACCAGCTTGGCCCGGCTTGGCCCCATACACTCTGTAGCTTGGTCGTCGTAGACACTGCCGCAGCCTCAGCGGAGCTGCAGTGAATTGTTGTCACGAGGTGACACCCGCAAAAGCAACCACAATGCGCGGCATTCAAGAACTCACAAAAAGATGCGAAGAGAGAAAACCTGATTTGACGGTGTGTCTTCGAATAGGAAAAAAGACTCCGTCGCGATGTTTGGGGCTGCTGATCTTCTCGAGGACGCTACCAAATACCGCTGCCACGCACCGTTCAGACTCTTCACTGACGTGGCAAGTCGCTTCAGTGACGAACCATGGGAAAGAGAGATTCACAGGAGGTACAAGAACCTTTCAATCTTCCATGTTTCACCACCAAAACCACGTGGTTTCAACTGGTGCAAAGCGCACGCGTGTTTGCGCTGGGCTCCCTGGCAATCTGTCCCAGGACCAGCGTCCAATAATACACAGTCATGCCCATCGTGTCAGTCTTGAAGTCCTCAAATCATCATCGTCGACTCGACTCGAAATCAGGATATGTTGATCAAAAAACAGGTGCCCTGACCGTCCAGACCTGCTCCGTCCTCGGGAAAACATATGGTGGGTGAAAACGACCTCAAGGACCCCGTGTGTGAGTCTTTCATGAAGCTTTTCCCGACCAGAATAGAAGAGTCAAGATCTGGCATCCTGATCATCTTTGCTGAATCCAAATCCGACCTTAGTGCCTTAGTGTTATGGATGAGGCATATTTATGACATATTCAGAATATGGGCACTCACTCCCCTCTTGTCTGCACATGCACTCTATGTGCATCAGCGGTTCAGCGACTTCAGAAGTGTTCTCAACTTGGAAAATGGATTGGTCCATGGTTGGTCATACAGGCCTTGATTGTTCCGATGGTTTGTGGTTTCATAGGCTGTGGTTGGTCAACAAGCAAGGCCAAGCGCCTGTGGTTGCTCCTTTTTTCCAGGCCATCGGGCCATCCGGCGACAGATCCCCCAACAGATCCGCGATCTCCTGTGCCACATAGTCGTTGGGACTCTTCCCAGAGAGGTACAAGTCCCACATGCCCGGCGTCGCCTCGGGTTTCGGGTGTCGAGGGCTCGGACACCGATGGCTCGCTGGACTCCGGAAGACGCATGGATCTGGGTGAAGACTCATGGACAAAAATCAATAGTCTACCTACCTAGAACCCAATTGACCTCTGTTTTGATAGGAAAAGACCATGCTTTGGCTCCAAAACAGGGGTCAATCAGGTTCTACCTATGTCTACCTCTACTGGCACCAGATTCCCAAGATTCTGAGACTGTTCCAATGACACTCGTCAACTGCAATGATTTGGTCGATGCGTCAGTGAGTGACATGAGAACTTCGACGAGCTATATACTTTCCTGGGAGTGTCTCCAGTGTCACTCGATCAATGGCCATTGGCCATCACCCTCGGCGGTGAAGTCCGTCATGAGTCATAACGCCACCACAAGCTGAGGCCACTACCCAGAAGAACATCAGCCAGCAAAAGAGCATCTGCAGCTGTCCGATGTAGCCATAACTATACACGAGAACCTGCCGCCGCAGAAAATGGCGGATTCCGCGGCGTCGGTTCTAATCGATTCCGGCAGCTTCACCAATGGTGGTGGTCATGCTACTCAGCCAGCAGATGAGTGGATTGAGAGTGGTGAAAAAGCTCCTAGTAGCGTCCTTGCTCCTAGTAGTAAGGCCAGGAGCCCCTAGTAGCGTCCTTGCTCCTAGTAGTAAGGCCAGGAGCCCCTAGTAGCCTCCTTGCTCCTAGTAGCGACGCCTTTTGTTCCTAGTAGCGTCCGCTACCCCCCCCATCTGTTGACACCTTGGAATTGGTGCCATCTACTTCTGAAACCCACCCTACGTGGGCCTACCCTGCGACCCCATGTTCGACGCCTAATCCCGAACTCTCCCGTCCAGTCGGCCCGTGGTGGGCACCTCAGCCCCTCGTTCGACCCCCGTCTCTGAAAAGACCGGGCGGACATGTTGGGGGCCTTGCAGTTCACCATCTTTTCGTATCTGGGATGTCGCGGAGGTCGTTCCATCAACTTGGACCTTGGGAGCCGCAGAAAACGGAGGCCGCTTGCTCGCGAAGAGGGAGGAAGCGAGGGGTGGAGAGGATGGCTGTTGGGCCAAAAGGGGCTCCTCCGCTCGGGAATGGGTGAAAAAGAGTGGTCGAACTTCACCACGCGGAAGAAGGAAAAAGCCCTGCGGGGTACTACAGAGTGGGGTCCAAGACCGTGAGCTTCTCACCCAACCCCCGCATCTATAATATTAGCTTTCTAGATCCAAGAACATGTGCCTTGCAAAAGCGAAATATTCGGAATATCTTCCAAAACATTGGACTCCCCCCTACACCCCCAATGAGTTCATCAGTCACCAGTGGTTCATCCTGGTTCCACTCCTGGTTCCTGAAGAATGGCAACTGGAATCTGCTAGAAAAAGAACAAGAGGAATCGAGCATCCCGTGTTTTCTTCACTGTTGGTCTATCAGCCTATCGGTTTTCCACTCTGTTTGGATTCGTGTTTTCTGTCTGCTTTCGACAACCAGTGTTCCGAGTTAAACAACGGGTGGTACCAGCGCGGTTGGAACATGTTTGATTCACAGCATACTATCATGATTTCTTATATGATGTCTATATAATATGTTGTCCAACAACCCAATATCTAAACGTTTTAGAATAAAAGTGAGACGAAACAACAAACAGAATACATACACTCCGACTCCCATCGCATGGAGGTGGAATTCCCACTCTGGTCTTCGGAAAGTACTTGTCCAAGGGACCATGGACCATCCACTTCCGTTCGTCGGAGTGGTTTGGATTTACGGTCGACCTGGGAAAGCACCAACTTCCCACGACAAACCCGGGAGTTGATGGATGTTTATGGTACATTTATTGATAGGAAAAGCAACAGAAAAATCACCCCAACATCCGGCCAAACCCCGGGGTGTTTGGCAACAAAGGAAACCTCCCACCGGAAACCTCTTGGCCCCTAGACTCTGCGGGTTGGAGAGCGTAGGCGATCGCCGTCCTGGCAAGAAACACAACGGTGGAAGAAGAGGGAGGAAGAAGGAAGGAAGAAGAAAGAAGAAGAAACCACCATGTCTCAGAGGTTCTTGGAGCTTCTTGGCGATCGCTTCTTGGAGCTTCTTGGATACCTCTTCATGGTCTGTTCCTCTACTCGTCCTGTTCGACTCTCCTTAACACACCTGCCAGTTCCCAACATCGGGTGTCACCCGCACTCGTCGGACTCATCCCTGGCGAGCCATAGATTTGAACACCCTGGCACGTAGTTCAATGATCGATGCTTCAGGATGTTGAAATCATGTCAGAATGGGAAAAAACAAAGGGCGGTTGAGCTATAGAAGATGAATGGTTTGCTCCGCCAACAAGTCCAGAAGTCAACTGCATCCGAAGTAGACATGACTTGGCCAGGTGAGGGTAGATTCACTGGCCCAAAGAAAGTGTTCAGTACAGCGCAGGGCGCCCAGGCTCAGGCTTTCGTGGCTTGTATATTTTTAAAAGCAATATTGCAGAAAATGTCAACAAAGAAAAAGGACCTTCCGTATCTGCGTGGAATGTCTCGTTGTCACCTCTGCTTGAGAATGAGAAGAATCGGCCTCGCGAGACCGATTGAATCGGTCTCGCGAGACTGTCAGAATCCTTGTCGCACCAAGTCCCCCCCTGTGGGCGCTCCAAATATCAGTGCCAATGTCGATCAGAAGCACTTGGGCGACAGTCAGAGCCTGCGACAGACAGAGACAGGGAGAAAGGAAGCAGTCCTGGCGAAAGGATCACTGGACCCTCATAACCTGGGGTCATCTCACCTACAGCTAGCCTGGCATGATCTTATGTATATCAGGAAAAAGAACAATGCCAGTTTTATGCATCAGCAGTGCAGGGTCATCCAGCCTCAAGAAGGGGGCGTCCAGCCCTCACGACAGTTCCATCAGCTGCCATATGACAGCACCAGGGGATTCCCAATTCCCAACCCCTATACAAATAAATTCTTCCATTCAAGCAAATGAACCCATCCAAGGACAGCCGCTCCGTGGCGGAGCCTTTTGGTGCAAGCAGGTTCACTGATTCCCGGGCGACTTCGCGCTGCCACCGCAGGGAACTGCGGCGTTGACTGCGTTCGCGCGGCAAGCTGAGCGCCTGCGGAACCCCAAAGAGCTCACCGAAGGTGGGAGCCACTTGAGGCACCTGCGGGGGGGCTCGCGCCAGGCTCGAAGGTGTGGGTTGGGGTGGATCAGGTGGATGGGGTGTAGTCTTTCGTTGCCAGTGTTTGACCTCCGGGAGATCCCCTTTCTACCGTAGATCTACAGAAGCAGCTAGTAGAAACTGCTCTCCTGCTTGGACTCCTTGCCCAACCACCTCCCCCCGAACTCAACGTCGACTCCACCCTTTCTTCGTCTACGAAGCCTTGGAACAAAGCGTGTACATGATGGACTTCTGCAAGTTCTCGCTCGACAACCGTCCTGCCGGACCCCCCTTCCCCCACGGCCGTCCTCGACGCCGAGAGAGACGGCGGTGGAGCGAGCGCAGCGTGCGCAGCGTCCCGAAGCGGCCCGGGTCGCGGGGGGGCGAGCGACCCGGTTCCCTTGAGGCGTTTCAGGTTCTTGACGGTGTGGAGTTGATGCTCGGGTGGAGTGATGTCGTTCCAATGTTGCTGGGCCGGCTGAGGAAGAGAAACACATCCTTCAAAACAGACCCCAAATCAACAGACCCGCCTTCCAAAGCCATTCTGCACGAGACCATCGTTTGCCACCCTCAAGCTCTTCGTCGTTTAGGAAACGACGCATCGAAACGAAGAATTCGGTCTGTCTCATGTCACCACATAGCGGAACTGTAAGTCCCAGATCTCGCAGGCAATGTGTCGAAGCAGTGGTCCTTGTTCCATGCCCTTGACCACCGAGGAGAAGTTGTCATCATGCAGCACAATGTCCGAGGCGTCCTTCGCGAAAGGACACAGGAAAAAAACACCAACTGCTCTGAAACACACGCTCAACTCAATAGAGACAGGCATCCTCTGATTTCAATGGCATACAGTACCTGACCCAGGGCTTCCTATACTTCCCAGAACATCTTCCCATCACCCTCCAGAGAGCTCAAAACGAAGGTTCGTGCTTTCCGCCGGAATAAAATATACATATATGTGTATGAGATGTGATAAATAATGGATGTTGAAAAGAGAGGAGAGGAAGAGTCAAGGAGAGAAATCGGAAGCCTCATCCAACCAAAGAAGGTTACACATGCCTATACGTTCGTCGTCCTTGGCCACTTCAGTTCCTCGCTGTCCCATGGCCACGCCCACCTTGGGCGCAGAAACTGCAAAAACGGTAAAGGCAACAAAAAGTGAACCACCACCACCACCACCCACGTTGCGTTGTTGTTGCAAGTAACAAATACCTGTTAATCAGGGGTCAGGAAGGTCTATCAACCACCCGATTTGGTGTGGTGCTGGCGAAGATTCATTGTGGTCACTTTAAATGACTGCACTTCTTGCTTTTGCCTGGTTCATTGAATCAGCCAGTTCCCAGAACCCTCATCGGAGGAAACCAATTTTGGGGGCATGCCCATCGCATTGCATTGTTTTGCATCTGCTTAGACTTTGCAATTCATGGAGTGGTCTTGGGATGTTGGTTGGACCAAACGACCAAACACAGCTTCGTGGCAGTTGTGCGCAAGCGCAACTTCTGCCTAGTTCCTGGCCTCCGCTTGCTTCAGGGCTGGTGCATCATTGACGCCATCTCCAGTCATCGCCACGATATCGCCAATGCCATTGTAGCCGTACTTCTGATAGGCCTGCACATGAAGATGAAGTGGCCCTCACACCATTCATTGGCATTGCTGGGTTCCACACCGGCATTGCTTGCGAGTGTTTGTTGCTTTCCAAAACCCAAACTGGCAGGATTCAACCCAAGGTGTCCAAGAGCTGCACTAGTATCTCAAGAACCTCACAAACCATTCGTCCGCCATGAGACCTTGTAGAAGCCATATGCCTTGACCTCCCCTCCCACAAAACCATGTCGAACAATCACCAACTAGTCCTCACATCTCCACTGGATTCAGCCCCAGGAAGACACTTCAGCGAAAAGGATGACACGGACTCGAGCTCCCTCCCATCATGACAGGGACCCACCTGCACAATGACCTGCTTGTGGATGGGCGAGACCCGTGCAAAGACCCGCGTGTGCTGCACTGCCTGACGACGTGTTGGCGACGTGTGGGGCCACGTCCAGAGATGAAAGCCAGCCGCTGAGCTCTCTTTTAAAAAAAAGAAGAAAAAACATGTGTGAGGACCCACCTAACAGTCTCACTTGCGGTCGGGAGTGTGCTCTCGGCGCAGGTCGCGGAGAACGGTCCACTCCGGTAGGACCCACCTAACAAAGATGCCCCAAATATCTCCCGAGCTCCCCAACAGTGGATGTCTGGTGGTCTCCTGTTTGCAGGCCGACATCTCTGAAATGAGTGATAGTCTTGTTTGCCGGTCCGCCGGTGTCCTGGGGCCACTCCGCTCTGAAAGACTGGAGTGAGTGATGGAGGACGGCCTCTGTGGATCGAGTGCCCCAAAATGACCACCCGACAGAGGAGCAAATCCACCAGTAATCGAATAAGAGGGCCATGTTCTCGAATTCTCGCACCGATCGGTCGGTGTCTGTGCAGAAATCACCAGGTACAGGGCTGGGCAGTTGCAGTACCTGCTTGGATTGGGTTCTCTGAAGAACCGATTTCATGAGGCAACTGCCTTAAATCTGTGAGATCCGAGTCGAGACACTGATGGCTTATATCACGATTCAGGGAGCAGGTTAGTCTCTTCAAGAACAAGCTGCAAACCCATCTCTATGGAGCAAAGGTCTTGGTTCTTGCATGTTCTGTCTTGACTTGTTTAACTCTTTGGAGAGCCTCTCTCTCTCTGAGACTCAGAAGGTGGTCTCTTACTGCACTTGCCGGATTCATGTTCGTTTCGCTCGGGTCTTCATACGACTCGGTCGGCTCGCTCGCTCCCCTGGACACCACCAGCCCTCCCTCTCGCTCGACGCAACCGGGGGGGCTGTTTATAGGAGCGTCACGCGTCACGCGGTCGCGGTGCGGCTTTGACGTCAAACGTGGCGCGTGACGCATGAGTCGAGAATGTGTCCCCACTCTGAAAAGATCGGCTCGCCTTTCTCCACCACTTGACATTGTCCTCTGGCTCTTCATCGGTAAAGTTATCACCTGAACGTGCCAAGCTCAGGTCGTAGAAGGTGTGATGCTTTTGATGGGGATGTTCACTCGCACCGAGCAACATGGACCATTCCCTATTCCTTTGCTGTTCCTAGATTCCTAGACCCCAGAACTCTCGCAAGCCAGATATTGCTACAAACATCACGTCCTTTTCAGGAAGGTTTGCAGTTCTTCAGCAGGATTCAACACCTGCCTACTGGCTGCACTTGCCAGCTTGGATTTCCTCTGCGAAAGAAGGAACACTGAAAACGGTGTATCAACGCACCATGATTCCCGGAGAAACCAAGAGAGGCTTTTTGAGACCTGAACTCTCCAGCTAGGGGAACATATGGGATACACAGACTATAGGATGCGATAAGGTTGTTCAACCTCTCTAGGAAGTGATGCCCTTCTAAGCCGGTCCAAATGTGCATGGCCCAAAAAACGGACGCTTCCGCTTTAAGGGGAAGCGACTCAGGTGTCTCATTAAGAAAGAAGGATCAGATGAAATAGGTGAACGACACACATGTTTGTTTGCCCAGCATGTGAAGCAGTCTAAATCCAACTTGTCTGAACTCGAGGTTCTTGATCCTGCGGAACTCACTGGTCATCTCCTGTCGTCTCCGCCCTCTTCCCTCAATTCTTTGAGGCCCTTGCCCTTGGGTATTCGGCTGTCCAACATCACCTTAGCAAAGCGCGACCACACCGTCGTCCTCCGGTCGTCCTCCGGTCGTCCTTTTCCTCCACACCTTACTGTGGACCTGGTCGGAACCCAGGCTGCTCATTCTTTGGGTAAATCTTATATGATGTTTTGGTTTATATGGGTCGGAACCCAACCATCCAACGGAGGTGGGGATTCCAACCATCCCGGCCAACTTGGAGATGTCCCAACCTACTTGATCGAAAGGTCCCCTGATTACCACCAAGAAAGAAGGAACATCGACCAAATATCACGCGCAGGAACGTCGTCACGGCAAGCTTGTCCACTCCTTGATCTGTGGGAACCGGTGCAAGTTTTGGGAAAAAAATCTTACTCAGAGGCTAACTGCTACATGTTGGTTTGGTCAAAAACCCTAGTTACTAGTTACATAGGGTCAAAACCCTAGAAAGTCACCAGAGCCCCCATCTCCCATGGGTGCTCAGTTGAACAGAGCTTTTCTTTCGGCGTAGGGTACTATCACTGAACAGTTGAGCAGTTGATCTTCACCACGCAGCTCCGTCCTTTTCGCGCCGCTCTGATCGCACGTGTGGCCGATCCAAAGCTGTTCTCCGCTCCACGTTTCGCACCCCGTTCGGTGCGTCGTGCTGGGTTCAGCTGCGTCGAGCGTTCCAGCGACAGATCCGTTGGCTCCGATCGGCCACCGGATCGACCGGAATCCACCGGAATCTGCCCTACGGAAACCAACCACTTGCAGCATTTGACCAACATCGAGCATGGTCGGACCGGCCATCATTTCAGAAACGACCCACGGTTGAAAAAAAGAGGATGCCTTGACACCAACTTTGCAATGCTTGGAGTGGTCACATGTCTTAAAACAGTTGGCATTGTTTGTGGAGCGTCCATCACTGCTTCAGCACCAATGGACCAACATCACTATGAAAACCCATGCCAGGGTGAAGACCTCAAGCTTGCAAAACGCCCACTTCTGACCCTTCATTTTTCCTGCTAAAAACACCGTGAAAAACACGACTCTGTGATGGATCAGGATCTCGCTGGAACATCCGGATCAGTAGTGATTCTCTCTCACGAGATCCGCGTACTGTGCCTCTCTCCGAGGCTGGATCTCGATCTTCTTGGCCACCATGGACCGGCCCCCCTGGCGGATGGGCGATCTTGGGCACCGAGGGAAGGTTCTCTGGTTCCAGGGGTTCGCCTCCGAAGGTCGTTCGAAAGACCTGGCATGAGCTGGCCCTTTGACCCATTGGACCCCCCAAGAGAGTTCCACCAAGCTGAGTGGTTTGGGACACCAGTTTCGTGGGTGGATGTAGGCTTGTGTTTCATTGTGTTTCAATGTTCCAGTTGCCTGGTGTGGATTTCAAAGCGAGGTGAGTCGACCGAATCCCTGCGGAGCGTCATGAATCCTTGGAAGCTCGTGAATCCATTTGGAGCGCCTCCGGCAAGTCCAACTTCAGCTTCCTTGGTCGCGAGGTGTGGAGATTCGTTGGCCGGACGGCCTGCACATGTGCCTGTGGGGAGATCGCAGCTCTGCTGGTCATTTTCTTGGGCTACACATCTTGGGCCTTGCATTGTTGGGGCACTCGCTTGGACTTCGGACCTGAAAGAGGTTGCATGTTCACAGAAACCTCATAGACGTGACTTGGACTTGCTCAAAGAACTCATATTCTCTAGAGATATTCCAGACTGGGACTACGTCAATCATGTATTCCCATCCCCCGGGCTTCAGGAAGATACCCAACAGAATTCTCAGAGAACAAAGAACCGACCCCGGAAGACAGCCAACTCAAGTTGTCGGTTTTGCGGCGGATGAGAATCTGCCGAGTGATCCTGTTTGAGCGACCCAGACCCTCTGAGTCCGAAGGCGTTCCGCACATGCTAGCGATGGCCTCCAACCTACGAGCGATGGCCTCCAACCGACATCCAAACAAACCTGAAGGCGGTCGGAAATCTAGGGGCCTTGGAACTCGAACTGACTCCTTTCCTCCTTCTGCTCCAACAAAACCATCCATGGACTGGGCGCGTCCCTCTCACAATCCATCTTCCCAACATGATGTTGCCATGGATCCCATAGACCTGGCGCAGAGCTGCCTCTAAGGTCTGTGGCTCGTCGGTGGCCCAGGGCGTTAAGGAGATGATCTCCGAAATCTCCTCCTTCTCCACGTGGCTCACCGTCTGAGAGGCCTCCCAAGCGGACGCCACAGGTGCGGGCTCCGAAGACCAGAGACGGCCGGTGGCGGCGGCGGTCTTTGTGGGAGAAAGATGGGTAGAGAAACTCCAGCAGGAGAGGACACCACCGTGTTCGATGTTCGCACTGCCTTTGGTGCCTTGGAGGCCCTTCAGGCCTTGGAAACATCCTGAAAGCATCGAAAAACCGAGTGATGTGTCTTCTTGGAGTACCCTGCAGTATGCTTGGATTGTGCTCCCGAAAAGTCTCGCGATGTTCAAGGCATCTTCCATATATAAGAGGATTCACGGATTCACTAATGATCAGAGAATCGACTCCAGTCATTACTGAAATGTAGGTAGACTGGTCTGGCCGTCCAAGATGATCCAAGATTGCCACCAACCTCTTGAGCTTCACACAATCCATTGAATTTTCGCACGAGGATGCCAACACTGATTTCACAAGCAGCGAGCGACTCTCTGAAGACTTGCATATACCATAAATTACTTTACTTCGAGTGATCCCCACCATGACATTTCAATCCTTTGTCTTGATGCCATAGTGAGGAGCATGTTGCCATAGTCGTCAGTATTGTAGTTCTCGATGTTGCTTGTGGGTCCTCGGGTTGTGTGCTGTGGTTGTGTGCTGTGTTGTGGTTGTGGTTGTGTTTGTGGTTGTGTTTGTGGTTCTGTGTTTGTGGTTGTGTGTTTGTGGTTGTGTGTTTGTGGTAGGAGGGATGCACACTGCGATCGGATCCTTGCGGTTGAGGTCCAGGGGTGGGGATCCTTGCGGTTGAGGTCCAGGGGTGCACACTGCGATCCGGAGCTGGCCAGACAAGATCGGCGAAGCAGATTGGCGAGGAAGGAAGCAAGGAGGAAGGAGGAAGGAGGAGGACGAGGAGGCGGCGGAGGCGGAGGCGGAGGCGGAGGCGGAGGCGGAGGCGGAGGCGGAGGCGGAGGAAGAACAGCTGTGATAAAATCTAACAACCCTCACCTGGCAGGTGGGGAAAAATTGATCTCCAAATCTTCTTTCTTCCACTGGTAATCCTCTCATCCTTCTCCATCCTCAAAGCTGAACCCCTTCCAAACGTCGCAAGAAAAAATGTAAAAAAAAACACACGCGCGGATCGTACTATTATACCAAACGTCCGAACCTACGCAGAAAGAGTCCCACCCACGGCCCGTGTGGCTACACCGCCCCACCTCGACGTTTGAAGCGGCGGGCAACTCCAGGTCACCCTCTTCCAAGAAGAAGATGTACAACGCCTGAGCGGTGGCCTGCCGCACGGTTGGAAAGCTGAAGCCCAGGAACTGCCTCGGCAGCTCGCGCGTGCCAGCCGTGTCCGGCAGATCGCGCGGCGAGGCGATCGGCGATCGCGCGGGGAAATCGGGGATTTCGGGGACGTGAGTATAGGGAAAAGAAATGAGAAGAACGCCACAAGTGAATCCAACTACGGGGGCCAACTAGAAACCCTGAGCTGTTCTTCGGTGCGACACGACTTGCGAGGTCTCCGGTCTCCAGACGGTCTGAAATGTCGCGTTAGGAAAGTGAAGGGGTGTTCTTTCCCCCCACGATCTGCACCGCAGAACTGCAAATGCAACGTCATTAAGACCCGAACCTTCTATATTGTATATGTACCTGACGCTCAGAGATGCATTGACGCACACAGGGTCAAAAAAGTAGAAGGTGTTCCTGTCTCAGCGTGGTCTATGAATGTGTTCTTGTTGAACAAGGATTCGACATTTTGCGATCAGGTCTGGCAGCAAGAAGCAGTACACTCCACAGTAAGCAAAAAGCTAAGAAACCATGCGTAGGATTGTGTTGGATTCGTGTGCAGCTGGCGGCCGCATGCAGGGTGTGCTACACAAACCTTGCTGAAGACTCGGCCTCTGCGAGAACTTCCGACACCGATAGAACATTGGACCAACCTCTTTCAGTTTCCATGTGTCTTCAAACAAAGAGGCCAAGTGCAATTCCTGATGATTCCTATTCGCCTACACACCGACACCACTTTCCACTCGAGGTGCAGCAACATCAGCAAGGACTCTCTCCGCACACTTGGCCAGCGCAGCAGCCCCACAAACACGGCCTTAGAAGTTGGACATTGGATTCTCGTAGTCTTCATCGCTCCAAACAAAAATTCCATTAAGCAGTCATAAGCAGATCTATGAGTGTATACGGTCTACACAAGACCAGAAACCTCGTATGTATACCCCAAAAATACCATGTGACCATGTCCAATCCCAGCGCTAGAACCGAGAGCCGAACTCATCGGTCCACCCGGTGCGGCGCGGTCGTGCGCGGATCCTCCGGAGTCGGGTCCTACTTCTATGCGAAGCAACGAAGAGCTATCCGGGCTGAGCTCGGACTGCCCTTGCGGCTAGTGGGACTGGGACCTGCCAGGTGTCCTTCCCAACCTCCGAATTCATCGACCCAGTGATGCGGGGCATTGGACAGAGTCTCGGTGCATCTGCTTCACACACTCTAGTCTTCAAGTCTCCTCCCTTATTCCATCTCTCTGCGTCCCAAACATGTTTTCACTCACCCGCCAACTCTCCCAGCCAACCACCCATCTCCACAGGTTCATCACCCCAACCAACAGCCGAGTCCGGAGTCCGCCGTCCGGTCGGGCCTCCCTCGTCCAGTCTCCCAAGCGGCGATGGCGCTCTTCAGGCGCTGCGGGTCTTTGCTCCGCTCCACCGCGGCGCTCGCGCGGCGCCCCAGCTCCGACGCCAGGTCTTCCGGCCAAGCGTCCTGGCGGGCGAAGCCGCGCGCCGCCCGCAAACCCGCCGGGGTCTGCCGTTTCTGCGGACGGGACTAGTCGGGGCCCACGGGTTTGCTGCCTGGAAAACGAAGGATATACCGATTTTCCGTCCAACATCGGTGTTACGAAGATCCTCGAAGAGTCGAGTCGAGTGAACTTGGCACCGTTCACACTCGGAGTCAATCTGCCGTGGGTGACGGACCAAACGGATGAAAAGACCTGCCTGAAAGGTCTTTTTCTACATGGTGGGCTGGTTGGGTGAACATGGTGAGAAGACGCAAAAACCCTTAAGCCTGACGAGAGCGGAAGGGATTAAGAAATCCTTTAACACAACGGGAAGGTTATCTGCTTGTTCTAAGTTAAGTTTGGGTGGGAGGGGTAAAGAATGCCCAGTTGGTGCAAGAGAATGGGAATCACGAGAGATAGCTCAAATGTCTCCAGTCTCGTTCTCTCCTGTGCCAGCAGTACTCCCACAGTGTTCATCAGTGGCGCCAGCAAGCGTTTCGCTTCGGGGTCGCTGTCGCGGATGGACACCGAGTCGTACAGCTTTAGGAGCTCAGCACCCAGATCCTGCCGCGTCAAGGTGCCACTGTTCAGCTGCTTCAGCAAGGCTCGCTTTGCATCCTGGGGTTGGCACTGCTCCCATTGAAACATCTATATTGGATTGAGAGTAGATGGTACAGACCCCAGCTGGTGGTTTATATGGACCCCCATCTGTCTGAGCTTTTTTGGGTGCACTCCGAAACGGCTCGCACAGGCGTCAATGACAGAGGCAGTAAACTGGGGGGCGAAGGACCATGGTCCAGAGCTTGGAGCAACAAAACATCAACGGTTACTGTCCATTCCAAAGAGTTCTGTGAGTTGGGCTAAGCCACCCGTGGATCTCAACGATCGCTTGGGGTGAACACATGCGGAACAACGAACAGAAATGTGGCAAAGTTGGGTAGCCATGAGTAATTAGAATCCTACTTATCTTGCAATCTAATTATAGAAACATCTAACTATATTGGCACAGTACTATATTGGCACATAGACACATGCTGTACAGTGCAAATCAGCTTTTCGAGTGGGAATATCTGATCCAGCTTTGACCTACGTGCAAAAGAGCTCATTCGTCTTCCGCTCTCTGTGTTCTGCAGACCCGCAAGTCCCTGTGAAACAGCCGCGATGGCATCCCCAATCTCGACGAACGCCGTTCGAACGGACCAAACCATCTGCGAGAAGGGGGCTTTGGCGGTATGCTCGGTGATGCCGCCCACCGAGACAACGATGCCCTTCAAGATCGCGGGTCCTGGGTGTCTTCATCGAAGCGGTTCCCATGATGTTGAGAGGCATGGGCGATCGGTTCCGGCGAACTGGACCGAGCTCTCGTCGGATGAGCCATGGGTGTTGGCCAAGATGGAGCCATTGGAAGTCTGCGGATGAGTGGAATGGTGCTGGTGAAATCTTAAGATGGATGCCATTTGAAAAGGCCCTGCCACAACCGAAAACAAGACATATTTCATGCAGTGGTTGCCAGGCCAGGCATTTAGAGACCCCAAAACTGGTTCAACAAAGAGGGGAGGACCCATAGAAACTGACTACTCAATCTCCTCAAGGTGGCCGACCGCTGGTGGCTGAAACAGACTGCAAATACATGACAGTCATGGGATCAGAGACATGGGACAACATCACAGTCTTTGGGACTGCAACGTTCATAATGTGTTCATGGATTAGCTCCCAAGAAGAAAACTGACCACCCTGATAGGATGGATAGAAGTCCCAGATCCCATAGCAGATCCCTCGACTTTGATGGATCTGCTGGATCTGCTCCCAAAACAAAAACAGCTACATCTGTGGTACTACTCTGGAGATCGTTGGGAAACATGGATGAAAAGAAAGACCGGCAGAGCTTGCCTGATTCTTTGGCTCACTTATGGATATTCCAGCCAAAAGATTAGTTTGTTCAATAGACAATGCAAAAGGTTGTACAGTATGATATATCCATTCAAAACTAGCAATATATCAATTATATCTAGAACCCATGTGACCTCTGTTTTGATAGGAAAAGACCATGTTTTGGCTCCAAAACAGGGGTCAATCAGGTTCTTGGTATGTATATACTGAGTGGTGTTCGTTCAGTTCTATTCTGGTGGCATCACCAGGCGGCGATCATCGGCGGTGGGTTTGCAGACGTGTCAAAGGAACAAGGGAAGGGCAACCAGGGGATGAGCTGGGATCAGGGTACCTCTGAGTCGCTCCTCGACTCGAAGAAAAAGACTCCCTCCAAGTGAGGCCACACAAGTCGTCCCTTCACGAACCTCGAGAGCACATCTGACCCCAAGAGCGTCATAAGATTTGGGTGAAAACTTCAGCAAAGCACACCCCCCAAGTCCCACTCAATCCTCCACAAGAGTTCGCGAACAAATCAGTACAGGAACCTGACAAAGTCATCCCTCAGTCATCCCTGGTCACTGTTTCAAACACAAATCCACTAGCCTTCCACTCATGATGAATGCCTGCTAATGCTTAGGGTGGGTACTTTCAGAACCACCGAAAACACGTGTCCCGACCGTCCCGGTGCCGCGCGGCGATAGGCGTCCAGCGCCGCCAGCGGCGCGAGAGCCTCGAAGACCGCAGAGCTTCGATCTTGTTGCAGATCCGCCTGGGTCGGCTCCGCCATGGGCGTGGCCTCGATACCTGGCGGAAGGGGAGGAGGAGGAACAAAGGGCATCGCTACGAACGGAGCAAGGACGCTACGAACGTAGCTCCTGGCCTTACTACTAGTAACAAGAAGCCACTAGCGGACGAAAAAAAAATGGAAGAAAAGAACTCTCAGGTCACAAGGAATGTCGTGTCTATAGGGGGCATGGATTGGATCTGGCAGATCTAGCCATCCAAGAAATGGAAGCTTTCGAAGAAGCAAAACAAGGAGGGCTATTCTCAGTCTGTTTTCCACGGTGTAGAAAGGTCTCCGGTATCAGTTCAGAAAGATCAGCTTTCTCTGCGCAGTGTGGTTTGAGGTCATTCCAAAAAGACTGTTTTCAACACGGTGATATCAGTACCGGTGTCGGTGGTGCTACTCCCGATCTCTTGAGTCCTTTTTCAGCTTCATTCGACCAGAAATGGCACACTTTTTGAGGTGGTGTCTGAAGATGACATCCCCAGGATCTGCTGTGAACCCACTCATGTCACAGTGAGAAACCTCAACAAGGCCAACGCAAAAACCACCACCTCACAGCAAAGTCCATGAACGCGAACAAAGAACTTGCTAGTATAGTATGCCATCTGATGAGTTGTCTCAAGAACAAAACAAGCGAGAAAGACCAGCAGGTCGTGGCGACCAGAAACCATTTTGACCCATGGAATCTCAACTCGTCCATCTGTGAGTCACCCTCATACTACCCAATAGGATCCAAATTGATTATCAACGGTTAATATAATATATGTTAATATAGAATGTTGATTGATTAAAAGCACCGTATTAAGAGGCTTTCCAATCCAAATGGGGGGTGATCAATCAACATTGTACATTACTGTAGGTCTCCCTATCTTTTGGGTTCCCATCCCTCGTTCAGCCCAAGCATCAGCTTTGCGCCACGCACTCACCGATCACCTTCAACTCTGCCGGCGGCCAGGCCGCCGCCGCACGCGCCGCGGCACCGCCCGCGGCCGCGCCGCGACCCGCCGTTGCCGCGGCGTCGTAGGCCTCGCCGTGCAGGACGCGGCGGTAGGCGTCGCGCAGCCCGACGGCGCCGTCGGGCGCGGTGCAAAGCCTCCGCAAGAGTCCTTGGCAAAGCGGCGAAGCGAAGGGCCAGAGAGTCCTCGGGGGAGTCGGTGCGTCGGTGGTTCGCCGCAAATGGCAGAGATAGTTGCCCCGAAAGTCTGAGGTTTTTGCAGAGTCAGGTTGGGACCCTGCTGGATTTGAAGCTCTCCCTGGCAAGTCCAGAAGAGTTCGGCAAAATTCCCTCTCACTCTCAAGTGTTTCTCTTACTTAAGATATGATTTGGGATTCTTATAAGCACCTGATATATATATATATATTATATATATAATATACAAAAAAGAGAATCCACCACCACCTGCCTTCCGTTTGCCCATGCTAGGCCATGCTCGCAAAAAAAAGGAACAAACAAACAGTGGGCCATGAAATCCACGCGCTCCAAGTCATGCCAAGTCTCCAAATGCTCGTTCCCTTAGTCGGTCGATCTTTTCCACTGCCTGTTGCAGAACCAAGGCCATCAACTGCGTGGACGTCGATGTGTCCGGCAGCTCTGGTGCCCCGTCCGTCACTCGCTGCCTGGGTGAAGGGCGGCGCCGCCGAGACCGGCAGGCACCTCACAGGATCTCAAAGATATTTTTTGGAGATTTGGGACCCGAAGTACATCATACCTGGATCTTCCACCTATGCAAAATGTCTGCCCTTGGGCGGAAGATGCAGGTAATATATGGGGAATCGACCGCAGCACATCCGGTCTCGGAAGCCCATCTGCAAGCTTGTGAGTTCGGCTTATGGAGAAACATCAACCTTGGGATACTTTGGGTGTAGCTAAACGATTCACGTCTCGAGTGACGTGCTTGAAAAACCCTGTCAGTGGCATCATTGATGCCCACAGGCTTGGGTCTTCTCCTGCAGCAATGGTCCGATTGAAACGTGTCTTGATTTAGATCAGCAGCTCTCTTGAAAAGTCCCCGCATCTTCGGCACCCTGTGGTGTCAGTGTCACCCCGTCTACTGGCCCCGTCTACTGTGCGTGTGGCCCGAAACCTGGCCACGTGAGAAACGCCGGCATTGGGGGAAACCCAGTGAATCCCCAGCACTGGTAGGCATATGCTACTGCATCGCTGCAAGTCAACCTCGCGAAGCGGTTGTGCCCACCCCAACCCCACCCACCCCAGCACTGTCGTGGCGTATGCGATGCGCGCATCGCTGCAAGTCCACCTCGCGAAGTGGTGAGGTCAATTGCACATGGCCGTTCATACCCAGAAAACCTCAAAAATCACCAGGTAGAGCAAGCAGAAACACCAGGCGCCCATGGCAACTACCTAGTCCCATCCAGATAACGATCACGATGGAGATGTGACGTGTTACGGGGCACCCAACGCCTTCCTTCCTCCTTCCGCGACCGGCACCAGCGACCTCCGTTGCGACCTGACTCCGTGAGCACCACGAGGAGCACCGGTCACCGGTGCTCCGAAAGAGGCGGCGGTGTGGTCTGACGATGTGCCTTACATAGACGACGAACTCCCCATCTGACCGATTTCAACGGCCACATCTGACCGACCTTGACCTCACACAAATCTGGGGAGAACGTTGATTGATAGGGGGATGGAGGTGAAATATTGCATCCAAATGGCTGCTCCAGCAACGCCACGCTGACCTCCATCGCAATCTCCCTCACCCACGACCCCACATCCTCAGAGAAGCTCTCATCACACAACGAGTGGCCATTGATGGGTTGCACGAATAAGGAAAAAAGAACACGCTGTCCCAAGAAAGAGTTTCACTTAAACTTAAAAGTACAAAATCGTTGACACATGAACGTTGGCCGAGCGCTTTCGCCAACACTCAGCCTACGCACAAATACCTGGGCGAGGACCAGGCGTGTCCTTGGGCGTGGATTTTTGATGGTTCTTGAGGACGCCCAGCCTCCCACAGGTCTCCAGGAGGGATTGACCAGCGCAAGCGAGCAGGACAGCCAGGGGCTGGAGAAAGCTGCTTACCTGCTCATGAGCTTCCACGTGCACGATGAAGCCGCTCCCAACCAGAAGTGCAACACGCAGCTCATCATCTGGCCGTGGAGCTCACCATCAACCAGACCTTCGATGCTGCGCAGAAACACATTGATGGCTTCCCGCCACCAACCGGCAGCGCTTGTCAACCCAAGCGATTAGGGCCGGGACTTCTGGTGCCCTGCTTTCGGAACGGTCACCATCTCGTCAGTCTCTCTCATCTCGGGAACCGTCTGGGCCGAACCGTCAGGGCCTCAATCATCACGAACCGCCCAACATCCGTCTTCACAAGCAAACCGTCATGCCTGTGGCTCATGGCCTTCCGGGTCTCCCCTCTCGGCATGGGGCCGTGGAACTCTCGGCATGGGCTGGATCTTCCAACGACGCAGAATTGAGTGCCAACCGTCCGGCGGGTATTTCTAGAGGAAAAGGGCCGGGTTGCACAGTTGGAAGATCCAGGTGAAACAACTGTTTACAGCAGTTCACATCAATCCTGCAAGTCTTGGACGAGGCTTCTCTTTTCGGACGGAACGAAACATCCCACGAGAGACTTGGGGGATCTGATGGGATCTGCCCTGTTTGGCCTCGGTTTTGGGCCAGTTGTGCCCAGCTTCTCCGCGTCGGTCGGTGGCATAATCCTTCATGGTGCCTTGCAGCGCTCTCAGCAGCACAGCCACCTCATCACTGCTCAGCGAAGCACCGATGCACAGGCACCCGAGGGCCAGCACCGCATATTGCCGCGTCGTGGGGTCCTGGGGGTCTGATTTCAGAGCCCATTAGCAAGGGAGAGAAATGTTCGATGGAACCTTCCACTATATGCTTGGGTCTATCCCATTTCTGGATGATGATGATGATGATGATGATGATGATGATGATGGTTTAAAGGCCTTTCTCTAGAATAGTGATAATTGACTGCAATAGGACACCCCCAAACTGTATCAACCATATCCTACACCTTCAGTGTTTCAAACCCATCCACAGGCGCTTCCAAGTAGATGTTCTGCGGTGCATGCGCAGGTTGCCAGGATGGGAAGATACCAGCTGCATGACTGCGTGACCTTTCTTCTTCCCTTGTCAAACTCCATGGTAACATCACAGCCCCAGCTGCCTCCGAAGTCGATGTGAATCACAGCCCATCTCCCCTCCGGCTCCATTCCCTTTAAGGGTGGCACTAGGGGCAGAGACCCAGGATCCAACGAGTATACCGTATACCTCTCGAGTTAGCATGCTCCATGGCCCACTGAAAACAAGCTGACATCACCAGACAAGGGTCACTCGCCAACCCCAAAACGTCTCGATGTCAGCTGCCACCCTTCTCACCCTGACCAACAATCTCCCGAAAGCCCCCCCCTCCCACTCCATGTCGATCTCCTCCTGCTCCTTGCCGCCTGGGAGATCTTGGTTCAGTGCTTCCTTCGTCAAGGCCTCCAGAACCTGCAGGCGCCACGCCGGGCCAGCGCAGCGAGCAGCGCTGGTCCGTGGGAGCGCGCCCAGGCAGAGCACGTAGCCCCGCCGCGCGGCGATGGTCTCGTTGGGCTTTCGGAGGCCTTCAAGGAGCGGAGCAAAGACCAAAGGCTTGACAGGTTCACCCCAGGTGAGGTGGGCCGTTTTGTTCGGGGCTTGGGCGAATCATGAAATAGATTGCAGTAAATGCAAGGAGGTATTTTGGAGCGGCCCAGCGGCTTCACCTCAAAGCTGTAGAAAGAGACTTTTGAAGAGCAGATTGGAGGGACTTCTCGGAAAGAACGGATGCCACTCTTGGGTGTTGGTCAATGTTGTTTGCCCTTTGACCAGCTGTCTATCGTGTCTATCTGGGAGAGTTCCTTCTTATAGAGTGCTCTTCAAAAGACCAGTTCGGGGGCGATCTGTCATCCGACGGGCCGGTGAAGTTAGTCTGCATCCAAAAAGACAGCAGGGAGACACCCGAGACACCATCTATATCTAGATCTTCCAACTATGCAAAATTAAATCTAGATCTTCCTACCTAGATCTTCCAACTATGCCAACTGCCTGCTATCTGGATCTTCCATCTATATCTAGATCTTCCCAGGCAGGCAGTTCTAAAAGCTGGCTTTTGAGATGAAAAGGCCGAAATCTGGCACAGTTGGAAGATCTAGGTAGCACCCGACTTCACAGGTCACCAGCTGCGAGTTTGAAGCTTGCAAAGCCACCAGAGGAGACCTGTTGTGGCCTATGGCAGAAACAATATCTGCGTTTGGAGGTAACATGGAAAAAAACAATCGATTTGGTCGTGAGATTCCAGTGTTGGGACTTTGGTACATCAGCAACAGAGGTGTTTATGAACTAGGTGTACAGCATCGGAGTGCCAACCAAAAGAGACTGTTTGCTGTCTGTACCTGTGACTTTTACACACTTGGCGAGACTGCACAAGCGCTGGCATTGTTGCAGCAGCGGTGGAAGTGCACCAGCATGTTGTTCTAAGAGTTTTGAAGAACTTATTGGTGCTCTCAAAAATGTGGGGAATATGACGCACATGTCAACTTGCACCCTGCTCCCTTTCGCAACCTTCCCCAAATACCTGAAAAGCGAGGTTTGTGACTCATCAGTACTTGATGAGTTCTTGGCCCACGTCCACTTCTTCAGCTATTTGCCACCTTCCACCTAGAGAAGTGCCGTTGACTACCCCGATCTTCAACGTTCATCAATGACCATGTGTTTCAACAGGTTCAACCGGAACGACCTGCAGCGGAACTGGAAAACCCACTATTCCCAAGAACCATCCCTGGCAAGGTGCCCTGGATGCCCTGGTGCCATGGCCCACAGCCATGTTCTTTCAGGACCTTTCTGATCTAATCGAAACAAAATGAGATAAGGAAGGACAGGAAAGAACCTTGCCAAGCTTCACCAACTCCGCTCCATCCGCTCGTTTCAAAAGAAATAGAAAAGCCTTTGCAGGAAGCGTTTGGCCTTGTAAGTAGCTCTCCACAGATTTCATCATCAGCTCCTCCGACAATCGCTTCTCGGCTAAAACCTGGAAGGCTTCAGAGGCAGCGACCTGCGCTCGATTCGAGCTTGGCGCTGTCGAAGGGGGCGAGAAAGATCTGCCTGCACTGCAAAACCAAGCAACATTTCCAGTGATGAACATGTGGACTCATACAGCCACTACAGTACTCCAGCAGTACTTCCAGTAGGGAACTATTCTACATCTTTTCCTCTTCCCTCCACCCGTCCAGCTCCTCTCCTGGATGGCATCGGTGGTGTGGCGACTGCATTCCTCCAGGGTCTGGAGATAGCGCTGCGCCGTGGCCTCCTTGAAGCTCCAGGAGGTCCCAGCAATCGTTCCCAACAAACCTCCGCTCGCGCCACGGGACGCGCCACGGGACGCGTCCCGTGGCGACGCGTCCCGTGGCGAGTCCCCGCGAGGTAGCCAGTGACGGAGCGAGAGCGAGGTGGAGGTGACTCGGTGTCTGAAGGAGCCCGGAGTCCGAAGGTGTTTCTTGTCTTTAAATCAGGTGGATCGAGCAGTAGAGGCTCATGGAGTATGAAACTTCTATGAGTCCTCGTACTCTGGTCATCGCCAGATTCATCTGCTTTTGACTTGTTCATATTGGTTGTCCACTTCGAGCTGACTTCATTCCCACTCAGAATGCAGCACATGATTCTGTCTTGGTCTTTTTCAAGTCTATGCTCCTAGTCCTAGACAGCTTCCTTGTGCCGTAGACATTCGTTTGGCTCTGCACCCATCGGAGTAGCTGATTTCGATGGGATCTTCGTAGATACCGCAGCAAGTTGGTGAGATCGCAAGTTGGTTGCCCAGAAAGATCCACCTGCTCCTCGAATCAAAGGGATCGAGTTTCGTTTGACGGTGCTTCCAACCCGAAGCAGTACCCAAACCTCGCCACTGGCCACTGGGAATCCACGAAACTAGACATATTAAAAACAAACACTATTTAAACACCAAAAATGGGTTCTGATAAAGACACTTTCTTGAGTCTTGAGAGTACTGTACATGTTCTATACATCTGCTCTCTCATCCACGGCCTCGGTCGACTCGTCTCTCTTCAGTCTCTCTGCTCCGTCCGAGGCACGGCAGGCGGCCTGGCGAATCACTTCACCCCCACGGCCTCGGTAGGCGCGCGCCTTCTCGAGCGCAGGGACCAGGTTGCGGATCCTGAGGGCGGGGGATGCGGCGGAGCTGCCCGGTGCAGCGCCGTGGGTTTGGCGAGCGAGAGGACGAGAGGAGCAGGAATCTGGGTTGGGGGGGGGCATGAACAATGGATGAAGCGGTGCATCAATTACAACTGCTCCGTGAGCTCGGGATTCGGCATCGGTTCTGGACGTCTCCCAGACACGGAAGCCGATCGTGTTTCCAACGACCTGACATGGGGGAAGTGTTTAACACGCGAGGTTTCGGCCAAGAAAGGACCAGGTTGTAGCGGTCAATCAACGAAAAAATGAGAGGCCCATCACCAGCTTCTTCAAAGTGACCTGCAAAGGGATCCTAATGTCTGATTTTTGGTCAGGCTGGAATCACGGCCGCATGGCCTTGTGGGAAGACTACGCCTCTCAGCACAATCCATCACTTGCAGACCTACTATGGCCCAAAAGCGTCCAAGGCACTGTTGCTGGTTTTCAGCTGAGACCCTCTCCTGGCAGGTGCAAGATCTTTGTGCCGAGTCAAGATCTGTTCAAATGAGGCATTCTTTGCTGTTCTCTCTTGCACCTCGTGTTCGGCATTCAGATGATTGGCAAAGATGTGGCTTCCCACTACAGTTTGTAATGTTCTACCAATTGAAGAAGTCAGAAGTAGTGCTCAAGCAACTTGTCTTGCACAAACACAGGACTCCAAAACCAATCCAACCAACGACAACCCCTGCGCGGGCCCTCTTGCAGCACCCGCCAGCACCAAGAACTCCCGTCCACACCCCTTCCTGGTCTAAAACTACATCCACCCAAAGCTTGTTGGGTGAAACAGCTAGCAATCTACATTGGCAAAGTGAAAAACCGGAGCGAACAACATAATTATGTGATATGTGTGTATGTATCCAAATAAAGAGACCTCCCAACCCCCCCTGGAAGATTGCAAATAGGTCGATGGTCTCCCTATTAAAATACACACCCATATCAACCCTCCCGACCCAGTTCCATCAGCTCTCCTGCATCACCTGAACCAGCTCCGCAGCACCTTCCACCGCGCCGTGCTTCGCTTGCACCGTGGACTGGGCGTCGTGGCAGCGTGCCAGGAGCCGAGGGAGAACGTGGGAGTTCAACAGCTCCAAGGTCTCCTGGCCGCTGTTGAAGCAGCAGCAGATGAGGTGAAGTGCAGCAGCTTAGAGGGTCGGAGAGCAAGCAACTGCCAACAACTGCAAGCAACTGGATAAAAGATGAATCCTCCGGCATTGCACTTGCCGGCTGCCATTGAAAGAACATTGATTGTAATATGAATAGCTGTTCTTTCATCATTCTGGGTTGAACTTTGTGACCAGCACCCTGACCACCGTCGTGACACCCGCCGGCACATACGACGATAACGACGAGATCACTGAGGGCGAGGTCGGCTCCTCAGAGGCAGTGTCGGCCAGTTTCGCCAACGCCTGCGCAGACAGCAAACGGATCTGCATGTCCTGGCGGGTCGAAAGGATCGGGATCCATGAGGATGGCAGGATGGAGCTCGGGATATCCCACTTTTGGGGGTGGAAAACTCCGTCAAATTCAACGGCAGGGGCTTCGGATCTGGACCCTCCAAACCTATACATGTCAAGTGGGAAATGGATGAAAATGGATCCGTAGAATCAGGCTATTCCACTTCCCCAAGTGGCGTCTCTGAGAAGCTCCTGCAGAAATGAAGAGCTGCTCCGGCAAGTACAAGTCCAAAAGTAGTACAGCATGTTGAGACCCCAAATTGGGCAGTCCAGCTGACGATGTCTGAGAACGGTGCCGAACATGCTTTTTCGTCAGCCCTTCTGCACATGGCATAGATCGCACCATTGAAGCACAACAGAAAACAAGCCACTCAGTCGCGGAGTGTGGTTTCAGCCTTTGATGGGTCCTGGTGTGGCAGCTTCTTCTCCACCAGGTGCTCGATCAACGCCTTCCGATAGCCTCCAGAGCCCAACCCGGCGATCTGCGGCGCGACCTGTGTGGCAAGGTCCGTCTGGACGCAACGTCGAGTCGCTTCTTGCTCCGGTCGAGTCGCGATGCCCTTTGTTACGTTCGTAGCGTCCTTGTTCCTAAGTAGTGATGCCAGAAGCTACTATATAATAGCTTCTTGCTCCTAGTCAAGTCAAGTGTTGGAGAAACTGAAGCTGTTCTCTCTTGGAGCTTTTTGAAGATCGGGTGTGGAGTTGCCAGCCTGGAGGTTGGCCAAAAACGACCCGTCAAAAGAAGCTGCCTGAAAGAGTCTCTTGGGTAGGAAATGTTCCTTCTTACCCCCATTACAATTACATGGACCTACTTCCCACCAATCACAGCTGGTGACCCGTTTGCTATGCCTACCCTATGCCTACCCTATGCCTTCCACCCCTGAGATCCGTTCCTTCCGAACGACCGGAGGCGTGGCGCCGGCGGCGGCCTCGAGGTAGGCCATCCGGCGCACCGAGAGCGTCCAGTAGTCGGCGATGGTCACCACGTCCTCGGCGGCGAGGTCCACCCGAAGCTCAAAACGTCCAGGCGCGTGGCGCATCCAGGCCGTTGGCGCCTATCACAAACCCCGTAAGAAATTCAGGAAATGGAGAATGTCATGCTCGGTCAAGATCCCTGGATGCAAAGTTGGATATCTTGGGACACAAAGCTCGGTACTTTCCGGCTTTTCCCAACTCAGGTGATCCGGTTTTCCCATTTCTATTTGTGGAAGCTCCGACCTGGAGAGCATCTGGGAGTGCTATGGAGTGCTGAACCACAGGCCATTCTAAAGGCAGGCAAGGAATGTGGCACGTGTTCGGACGCCCACCAAGCGATCGAATTCTCTCGTCAACCTTCAAGTCTCAGGCAACCTGGCCCCTCAACGCCTCAGCCTCTCCTCCCAACAGCCATGCAAGTATCGATGCCATGGGGAAAGGTCCCTTGGCGCCCCACGTTCTCCTGCACCGCCGCGGCCGCCGCCCGGCGGCAGTTGATCTCACGATCGAAGACCGCTACCTGCGACGGACGGGTGGACGCCATCCTGGACCGGGTCGAAGAAGACCCCATCCGAACGGGGGGAAACCCCAGTCCCAGCCCAAGCAGAAAGAAATGGATCAAAGAAGTCCCCAGTGCCCACCTTCGTAAGGATCTCAAGAAAGCCATCCGACCGGGTTTCTAACCCTGATTGGGACTGCGTGTCCAGGTCGGATTCCAGTCAATCGTGCCGTGCAAGTAGAATTATTGGGTCCTGGTGCTTCCAAGTGACCTTTTGATCCCCTGGTTTGAGGTCACTTAGGCCTATAATGGGTTACTTAGGGACTCCAAAGAGGTCACTTGGAAGAAGCTGGGTGAGGAGTTTTGGAGGCCCCTCCGGTTTTTTGGTGCAGCTGCCTTTGCGGGGTCAACTCTTAGAGGTTCAACACCATGGCTAAGCTCTTGGCAGCGTCCCCGCTGGAGCTCTTCCAGACCCCTGTGCTGGAAGAGCTCCAGCCGGGTGGCCATTTTACCCATCCAGGGTGCCATGATGCAACAACTGGGGGCACATGACAGGATACACTGACTCAGCAAAGGAAACGACCAAAAACGGACGCAAAAAAGCCTTATATGGTTAAACCTTGCCCATCGGAGTCAGCTATCAAACCTTCTGATAGCCCTCCTTGATGTAGGTGCCCCAAGTCCGTCTAGATTCTCCACACATCATGAAGAACAGGGAACAGGACAATTCATATTTAGCAAATTCACTTGTTTCGTCCGGCCCACTCATGTGACTAAAGAGTGAGACGGACTAAACAAGTGAATACTGTTCAGGCACCAGGTGAGTTGTTTTTGCTGCCCCCGCTTCGCCACACGAACGCAGGTCGGTCGCCTGAATGAGCGCGCTCGCCAGGTCCACGACAAAGGGCTGTAAGACATCCGGCGCGTAGGCGCGAGCGAAGGCCCAACACACGTAGCCTGGGGCGGAGAAACGTGTCGACGGGACGTGTCTGTGGCCCCAAGAAAACGCCATCATTCCAGGTCATTCTCTGGGTCCAACTCCCAAGGCTGGTCAGCACATGTCCTCCGAACGCTGGTCAGCTAAGAGCAGCTAAGAGAGGGTCAGCTTGAAAGCCCGGTTGGATTCTCCACTGCAACAGTCTCCCCCCAGCGTCTCCTCACAAAACCGCACCAAGCTCACACGGTCCATACACGCCTCCCACCCCCCTCCGCCAAGGCCTTGCATGTGGCTTCAGCCCTCAAAACACGTCACAGAACCGAGCTGCAGGCGGCATCCCTCACGTGTTGGCCCAGCGTGTAGTTCCCCGAGACTTGTTCGAAGTGCAAGGCTTGGCACACCAGCGGGATCACCGTCGGCAGTCCTGAAGACGCGACGAACGGAGCGATCGGACGCTAGGAACGGGGCTCCTGGCCGTACTACTAGGAACAAGAAGCTATTAGAAACCAGAATTCAATAGAATTACCATTGAGTTCGAATTCGGGGGAAAAAAACCGACCCGGGGCGCCCCCGCATTACCCGGTCAGAGGCGCCGATGATAGATCAGCACAGAATGCACATCTGAAATCAAAGAACGGAGTAAGATCGGAGTACATTAGGTGATAGAGGAGGGCTGGAGAGGGTGTGCGTGTATAGGAATAAATTGTTCAGTAAACTGTGTGATACAGACCACCAATCTCGGTTCGCAACGCCTGATCTGTAGTTATAGGAACCTGTTCAGGATGGTCATGGTTGGCCCCTTCCTCTTTATATTCTGAATAAACCAAAGGGGGGGACCCAAACCATAGAGTTGGTCCAATCCTGATGGGTGAGCCTATCACAATTTGCAAGGCGAGGTTCGGTGCTATCCACCCCAAAATCACTGCCAGCCCATGCTTACTACATCTACTACCCATTCACCAGTAGCTGGTCAATACGTCAATATGCTAAGAAAATCTCTTCATGATGGCCCTCTCACTGAGTAGTTTGCCCGGCTGGACACACGAAGAGATGATTTGAAGCAATCCCATGCCAGAATCCGGGCAGATCTCTGCATTTGACATACCCACTTCATCCATCCTGGTCTCTCGTCTTTTTGGAAAGGCATCAACTTGAAACCCAAGGAACATGGCAGTGTGAGGTTCCGCGCCTTTGCAGGGACTTCATTAAATGCCCGCCCATGTCCAATCGACCCCTCTGGGTTTGTTTTCCACCGACTGCACCATCACACACCGCCACACCGCAACCATCCTCCCCCGCAACGATCGGGGTGGTCCGCAACCCTCAACACACAAAGGTCCAATATGGTCCAATATCCAACAAAAGCATTGGAAGCAGATCAAGACAACAATTCCAGTCGTCGCTCGTTTTTCTGGCATTCTTTAGGTGGGCTTCATCCCAGTGGCGTTCGGGCAGCAGAAGGCCGCGGCGCGTGAGCTCCGCCAGGGCCAAGCAGCCGCCGTGCCAGGCCTTGTCCGTCTCGCGGAACGAGAAGCAACGCTCCAGCAGCGATTCCTTCGGCGCGGAAGGCAGTGCCAGGCTTGAAGGACGCCCCGGCGAACCGCGGGCGCCTGTGCTCTTGGGGGAACAACAAAAGAAATTAGCGTTCTTGTTACGTTCGGAGCGTTCTTGCTCCTAGTAGTAAGGCCAGGAGCCCCGTTCGTAGCGTCCTTGCTCCTAGTGGCGATGCCAGGAGCCCCGTTCGTCGCGTTCTTGCTCCTAGTAGTAAGGCCAGGAGCCCTGTTCGTAGCGTCCTTGCTCCGTTCGTAGCGAGGCCAGGTAGTAGCTTCGTTACTAGTAGTATATATATATATATATACACGTGCATAACCCTGAATAATTCAAGGATTTGAGGTCTGTGAGGTGCCGACCACCCCGTCAAAAAACTTGCTAAAGCAAGAGCGACTACAGCTGAGGCTAGCTTTTGTGAAAACACCTCCATGTGAATTCTCCAAAGCCTGGCTCCAAAGCCTGACGAGCAAGAAAACACCGAAACAAGAGGATCGTGTAGGGTGTCGGTCAACCTCGAGTGACGATCGCGACCTTCGAATGTAGATTCTTAATGATTCAACCCGCCAAGCTTGAAGAGGTCTTGCCATCCCAATGAGGGTCTACATGGGTCTAGATTAGTCCAGAGTCTACATTACTGGGTGCAACACTTTTGGTGCCTTTAAGATAAACTCTATTCAACACAAGTCTCACATCCAGAGAGGCCTCCGTAGGCTCGTCCGAGAGTTCTTTTTCGGCCGAGCATCCAAGACTTGGTCGCCAAAATCACGAGACAGGCGATTCGTCACCTGAGGATTCGTGTCGCGGTTCCTGCCCACACGAAGAAAACGTTTCCCCGGTGGGTCTCCCTTTTGGATCCCATTGCTTGTTTTAGTCAGAGCTGTGATACAGCGCCTACTGGTGCCTTTTTTTCCATTTGGGCGGTCGGTTTCCTACAATTACACCACCGTAGACCCCAAACAGTTTGTGCTTTTTCAAATCGAAACTAGAGCTTGCGACGTCCAGAGCTGGGAGACAAAGGATTGCGTACAGAGCGGGCGGACACATCTTAAGAAAGAATTGACAAGCCCCAACAGCAAACCTTTTGGGGAATTATTCTTCAAGTGCGAACATGATGCTGGTCATGCTGCTCAATCAGCGGGGAGCTGACCACGTGAGGACAAGAAATAAAAGCATGAGGAGCGAAGGATGTGACATGAAATTGGTTTTTGGTGCCTGACGTATGCCCTCCGTCCCAACTGAACAGAGAGATCGCTGCCACGCCGCCGAAAACGCTTGCCCGAAAAGGAAAACAAAGCTGAGAGAGTTACACAGTGTGGCAGGAATGCAATCCCGCAGACAATCACGCACCCCTTTCAAAGGAGCAAGAACCTTTCACAGGTGAACCTGTTCCAGCGGACAGGGCAGAAAACACCAGCGCAGTAAAAAGAAAGAAATCACATGGGAGACAAATAATAGAAATGCTACATGGCCAACGGAAAAGGGCGGCAGCACCAGTCACAGACCCGGGAAACAAATGAATAGAAATGCTGCATGGCCAGCGGAAAAGGGCGGACACCAGCAGTGACAGACCTGGAAAACAAATGAATAGAACTGTTGCATCCCCAGCGGAAAAGGGCTGACACCAGCAGTGACAGACCTGGGAGACAAATAAATAGAAATGCTACATGGCCAACGGAAAAGGGCGGACACCAGAAAGGGCGGGCACCACCAGTGACAGGCCTGGGAAACACATGAATAGAAATGCTGCATGGCCAACGGACAAGGGCGGACACC